ATAGAAAATCCTGATCAAGTTTGAAAATCCAATGAAGAACCAGTACAGTCGTGTAGCTGCATTTCTCTACACGGTATTAAGCACAGCGCCGGGTCCCCAGTTGCAGTCAATCGCTGCCAGGTATTGAGCACAGCGCCAGGTCCTAGGTGCAGTCAATCACTGGCACGTATTTACACAGCGAGGCAAGCCGCCTAGCGTCACTCTTCGTAGAGTCGCTTGGCAAACGACGGTGTGGCCTCCGTGAGAGGACCGTCCTCTTCGTCGCTGGAGTCCATGATACGTGCACGCTTTGTGCCCACACTGGCGTGCAGGCTATTGGCCACTGACTCCTCCTCCTCCTCCTCCTCATCATCATCTAAAGCAGGTCTGGAAGCAAAGCGTGGAGTCTGAGATTCAAGATCAACTTGGGTGCCGTTCTCAGTGGGATTATCTGAGTTATTGTCCAGTGCAGCAAATGCCGGGGTGTTCGACTCACCACCATCGATCTCCGAATGTCCGTTGGCCATGGAAGGGGTTTCGTCATCGCTGCTGTTGTCCGCAATCCGCGCATGGCGACTTGAAGCAAAAGCCGGAGTATGAGATCCACCGCCACCGTCATTGGAATGTCCCTCCGTTGACGGCATTTCTTCATCTTCTTCGCTGCTATCATCAGCAATGCGTGCATGACGTGACGTGGCAAAGGATGGCGTGTGGGATTCTCCAGCCTCGGCAGCATCGGAGTCATCATCCTCTGCTCCATTGGCACCCTGCTCGTTGCCGCTACCGCTATCGTCAGCAAAGCGAGCCTGACGTGCTCTGCTGTTCGTTCCCGATGTTGTGTGACGACGCATTGCCTTGGCGTTGCCAGCATTCTGCTGTTCTCCAGACCCATCCTCACTCCCCTCATCACTGCTGTCGTTTGCAATACGACTGCGTCGCCTGGACGCAAAGTTGGGAGTGTAGGACTCTGCGTTGTCATTTTCTACAGAGCCACCGCCAGCGTTAGTGTCCATGTCTTCATCCCGCTCTCCTTCACTGGAAGAAAAGTGGGCTGCAGACACGTCGATCTTCAGAGAAGATGCCTCGCAGTCATCATCAGAGGATGAGTCATCAGCATCAACACTGATGTCACTGTCAATCTCATCAGCACCATTGCTGGCCGGTGTTTTAGTACGACGGCCTCCACGCGGCTGATGCTGCTTTCGACTACGATTAGCTAATTGCTTAGGTGCCTTTGCAGCGGCAGGAGCAGCACTAGCATCAGCACCATCATCATTAGAAGATGAGTCATCGGCATCGACAATGATGTCACTGTCAACCTCATCACCGCCGGTACGCACAGGTGTCTTCGTTCGGCGACCTGCTCGTCGCTGTGCTGGTCTTCTTCTGCGACTGGACGTTTCCTGGGCTTGTGCTTCAGCAGGACTGCTGTCAGCATTGTCTGAGTCTGAGTCACCAGCATCAGCGATGATGTCGCTGTTATCAGCATCACTATCATTAGCATCAGTAGCAGTAGCGGCGCGGTGAGATGGTCTCTTGATGGGACCAGCACGCCGCCGCCTCCGATCACGGTTGGACTGCCGGGCGCTTGTCGACCCGGTGTCACTGTCACTGCCTCCACCGCTGCTTTCGTTCTCCGAGCCACTGGCTCGACGATCTCTCCTGCCTTCGGATCGAATGGGCAGAGCTGGAGGGAGCAAAACAAGAGGCCAGGTGCTCGTGGTCAACTGTGGTGTGTCAGCTGTGGTGGTGGTGGTGGTGGTGGTGGTGGTGGTGGTGGTGGTGTGTGTGTGTGTGTGTGTGTGTGTGTGTGTGTGCGTGTTTTATTCAGTAAAACACATCCTGATCTTCAGCGAATCCTAAACTTGCAGTAAAAGATGAGCAGAATTCAACCACTGCACAAAGCAAAAGCCCCCCCCCCCCCCCCCCGACATCCCCAATAAGCTCCTTTCATATACGGCTGAAGCACTGTAGACCAACTCTGCAGGACGGTCACCACACAAGGAAAATGTACACGTACCCGAGTCCACCTCGTTCTCCTCCAGCAAACCGGCGTCCGCTGCATTTTGAAGGCGTGCAAGGACGGTGTCGACATCATCGTCATCTGAGGAGGAGGAGGCTGACGCACCGCTCTCGACGATATCGTTGTCCGCCCACTGTGCAGACTTCTTTGCCTGAAGAGTACAGAGGAACATGTAGCAAGGTCATTATCGTGAGACACACGAGAAGATTTTCTGGGTAAGTGTTGTGCTCGGTGACCGCACAACCCTGAATCCACGTCACACGACTTGACGAGAAAGAGACAAAATCCGATTTGGTCTCACACCTGCAAAGCCCCCCCCCCCCCCCCCCCCCTGTCATGCTCGGGGAAACTCAGTTACTCCGTGTTGGCAAGCAGATCTTGACACTGACACTGCCGAAGCTATGATAACACATGTGGCCATTGTACTAAAGGGGAAGTCAGCAAACTGACTATTAGTTTGGCCGTCTATGCTTCCATGATCCATTCAACGAGTGCTGAAAAGCCGAAAACAAAGAGACTCATACCTGGGCTTCAGAGGCGGGTAACTTCCGATGCAGCTCCTTCCTGTCCGTCACAAGGCCCTGCTTCACGAGTTGATGGGAGATTTGACGCCGAGAGCGCTCCGGCTCTACTTCAAGCTCCACCAGAATGTCGCCAACCAGGTCAGCGGAGCCCTGGAAGCGCTCGTACAACTGGGCAAGCTGCTCTTGCTGTGCGTCTGTCCACGACTTCTGGGCTAGTATGCGCGATCTAGCAGAGACAACAGGGAGAGGAGAACAGAGTCGGATGAACCACCAAGCAGAGGAACACAGCGTCGGATGAGAAGCTGTGAGACTCGTAGGCTGAATTTGTGAATAAAACACGAGACACGGTGCTTTCTTCTTCAAGTAATGTAAGGAATGCACGGTGTCGTAGGGTTCCTTTCCCACCGGTCAGGTGTTTGTACGCCTATTATGTGTACTGTAAATGCTACGCAGAAAGAAAAGAGAAAAATTCTGTAGCGGCGTTTCACTTTGATGGTGGGTCTGATCTACTCATCTCTCACCGCTTTAGGAGCTGCATCCGTGCCTTGATCCTTGAGAGTGGCGGCGTTCCTACGCATGTCTAACTCAGTCTACCTGGGTCTCAACCGAACTGGGGAATTTCGTTTTGTTTGGGTTTCATGTTTATGCACGGTCATTAGGCAACTGGTGGATAACAACAAGTGACATGATTGATGAAGAGTCTTGACCAACCAGTTGCCCGCTGCTGGTGTATAAACGTGAAGCTCGGATTCACAACAAAATTTCCCTCTCTCCTTACCGTGTGAAACAGCTCTGTCTCAAGGCTGTGGAGCACTCTGCATGCTTATACTACAATGCACTTCAAAGTGCACTGCAATATTCATAAGTTGGAGGGTATCTGTGCTGCGCTGATGAGTTCAAAAAGAACGGAACAGCATGCTGTCCGCAGATTGAGTAAGTTGGAGGGTAATAGATTTATTAATAAATTATTATCAACAGCTCACCCATACCATTCTACAAGAGCATGTTTGGCGATTATTCGAATTGTTGTTGCCCTTCAGCACTAGTACATGACAAGTAGCTGGACACAAGACACGCACTGCTTGCCTTGCTCCTACAGCTGCCTACGTACAGTCAACCTTGCGAATACCGACCATCGGTCATGCATGAGAAAAGTGTCATTATTTGCAAGTTGTCGTTCTTCGTTGGGTTGAAGTATGCAGTGAAATTGTCACTACAGTAGGTCTGAGGAGTGTGTCGTTCTTCACAAGGACTGGTGTTGTCATACCCGAGGTCGTTATTCCTGGATTTGACTGTAGTCTGTAGAGTAGAACCTGGGTTAAGGGTCCACCTAACTCTGCGCGGACATAGCTGGACTCAGTTGTACAGGGATGGGCAAAAAGGTGTGCAAAACGACTTCTTGTGAGTAGATGGACCCCGGAAAAATAATTTGGAGGGAAAAAAGTTACGGCTTCCTCGGAAACCGACGGGGGACCCCCCCCCCTTGGGCCGGAAATTAAATCCCGGTATAAGGATCACCCGCATAATGTACATGCCAAGTGACCCCCCTCCCCCGGCTCCGAAGGATCACCCGCACAATGTACGTGCCAAGTGACCCCCCCCCTCCCCGGGCTCTGATCCCTAATCCGGTGTGACCCTTAACCCGGGTTCTACTCTACATGTACAGTCGAATGTCACTTATCCGGTCGCCAGTTATCCGAGCACGTCGGTTATCCGACAAGCCCGGGAGTGGTAATTTTATGACTCTCAACAGTAAAATTCTAATTTTGTTGTTGTTGTATATTATACGGTGTTTTATGCATTTACTTGAAGTCGATGTGGTCAAGAATGCTAACATGTATGTGTACATGAATATATTTGGGTATTGTGTACATAAATCAGTGAAATCCAGCCATATATGCACATAAAAAATGATATCAGTTATCCAACATATTCAGTTATCCAACATGCCTGATTCCCGAAGTGGTCGGATAAGTGACATTCGACTGTACTCACTTTGATGTTTGCATAGACCCGTATCCATTCTGCAGCTCGAAGACGGCCGCACCGTCCTTCCAGAACAGTGCCTCGGCGTACAGCACAGGATTGCTGGGCGCGCATTCAGTGAACTTTCTCACGATGTACACGGAGAACTTGTACAGCTCCTGGACACGGGGAAACAAAACGCAGCAGCAGCAGGATGACACATGGAAACGGTGCAAGCTAAGCAATACACGGCGGTTGATACAAAGCAGCAGACAATAGAGTAGACAATCGGATGACTTGATACGTCCACGAGATGGCTGTTTGCAAAGCAATAATGAAAATGTTCACTGCTCAAACAAGTAGTAGACCCAGGTGCTTGAAGTCCGGACATGGTACCCTAAGTTCGTACGCCCATAATTTCATGTTCTGTTATTGTATTCAATTCATTGCATTCCCAACTCATCACAAATATGGCCGAAAGCTCTGTCGCAATATTTAGTTCTGTTATTGTATTCGACTCAAATACTTTATGGAGGGGACAGTGTGATTATGTTCTCGTCGCGTAGCAATTTTCAGGGATCTACGATAAGCAGAAGGACCATACCACGCGAGTGGGTTTTCGAGTGTCCATACGAAATACAAATTGGGTTACATTTCATGCAAAAATCAACTTTACCAAGACCGATTTCGAACACAGCGTCAAACAGACCTTCACTCAATCATTAACCCTTTATGTACCAGCCATCTAATGTATGTAAGGGGCTATCGCAGCCAAAGAAGCAACCATGGTATGAAATCTAGACAACTTTTGTATATGCAAGTTGTGTTTTCCTGACTCCATATGTATCACTGCACCCAGGTACGCATGGATATTGGTACAGCATGCAGTAGTATATGAAGGCCATAGGTGGAATACCAAATATACGCGCCAATTGTGCATATTTCTGACCAACCAGGGTATCACAAACAAATAGACTGAGAATGAGTTTGTGCTCGTGTACTGGGAACATAGGGACAAAACAACCTCACAAGCGTTGTCTCAGTGCATGAAGAGTAACAACATACCAGGGAAATGGTCATATTGTCACACATTTGAGGTAAAACAATTGGTTCAAAATAATTGCAAATTTTGAATTCTTGTCTCAGATTCTAAATCTATATTTTTCTTCAGCTACTCACATCCAGCGTCAGGTAAGTGAAAGAGAAGACAAGAAGCAGTCGCCGGCTGGTGAATTACGCCTGCCTTGACGATTTTAGGCCATCGCTGCCCTCCCTCTCGCTCCTGTTTTGAGAGTGAATACTGCGATGGGATCAGCGATACAAATTTTCAATTTCGAGTCGCATTCCGCGATGATATCGCCACAGCCGATCTCTCCAATCGTCCACCACGTCTAGAAGACGTCGACATGACCTAGAACAAGCTACATCTTCGCTACAAGCAGAAAAACTGAGCGAGAACACGATCGAAACAGCGACAACTGTTTGCGCTGAAAAGCATACTTTTGAACGCGTTCGTTCTCCATACTTTCAAATGGCAACCTACCCATATCATACATCAAAATTTTCAGTGGGATCTCAGCTGTCAAGTGCAAAAAACCGCGGCTCGATCGGAGCTACGGCGGCGGGGAACGGCGCGCTTGATTGGAGTGCGGCGAACCGTACCATATGGTACGGTTCGAGATGGGGCTGGTACACAAAGGGTTAAAGGGGAACTTAAGGCAAAAATCAAAATTTCACCAGTTGTAGTCTTCGGGGTGCTGAGTCGAATGGTCTTGGTCCGAGAAAGCTGAGACGCTCCCTTCCTACTTTAATCCCAATCGAACTTGCGCACTTCCACCGAAACTGGGTGACTGCGCCCTACTAGATGGGGATTTGTATGCAAAATGTCACTAAAAGCGCCATTTCGTTCTTATAAAAGCACGGATGACCGCGATTGGCCCATATGTTGTAGTCTTTTGGACGCTGAGTCGACTGGTTTTGGTCCGAAAAGGCTGCGATGCAGCGTTCCTCCTTTATTCCCAATCGAACATGGTTGAACAAGCGGTCACGTGCTCCTGGGTGCCCAAATCACCTGGTCACCACGCCAGCAGGCGACAACTTTCACACCAAGGTTCAACTCGAGGTCAACTTGAGTGACAGGACTGCACCCAAAAAAGGTCAAACAGGCTTGTAAGTTGTACCCTGCAGGCACGGTGACCAGGTGACTGGTGTACGCAGGAGCACGTGACCGCTTGTTCAACCATGTTCGATTGGGAATAAAGGAGGAACGCTGCATCGCAGCCTTTTCGGACCAAAACCAATCGACTCAGCGTCCAAAAGACTACAACATATGGGCCAATCGCGGTCATCCATGCTTTTATAAGAACGAAATGGCGCTTTTAGTGACATTTTGCATACAAATCCCCATCTAGTAGGGCGCAGTCACCCAGTTTCGGTGGAAGTGCGCGAGTTCGATTGGGATAAAAGTAGGAAGGGAGCGTCTCAGCTTCCTCGGACCACGACCATTCGACTCAGCACCCCGAAGACTACGACTGGTGAAATTTTGATTTTTGCCTTAACTTCCCCTTTCAGAGCCAGCTTAGAGCTGAGAATGGCCAGAGGAGAAGAATTTACAGAGAACCACCAATCCTTGCAGATAGGTTGACACTCCTGGCATCTCCACCACTGTTTTCCCGCGGTTTTCACAGCGCAGCTGCTTCTTCTCTGAGCCGACTAAAAACAGCTTGCATTTCGGCAACAAACTACGCTTTTGGAAGAAATACTGGTGGAGGCACATGCCAAACGTATCGCGTCGGTGCTTTCGTCGTAACCGAGGGATTGCAAGTTAGCAATTACTTGGTCCGCGTCAGCGATATTGTCGCTTATCTTTCAGCTTTGTTTATAAGTCGCCAATGCTTACTTGGCAGCCCATTTTATCCCAATTTTTGTTAGCAAGTTAGTTTGCTAGTACCTGAAAGGTCTAGCTAGAGTTCGAGTGGATTTCGAGAGCGACAGGTGTGCGATTCTGATTGATACAGCGCCGCATCAAAATAGATTATCTTTTTATGCTGTGCAGGCAAGAGCAGCGCAAGCCACAAGAAAGTAATCGGCTACTCGGAATCAGCTCCATTTTGCTCAACGGCCGAGATCGCTCTTCTCAGGGATCGCTCATCAAGCTGAGATCGCAGCTCCCTTACCTCCAGCTCAACGCTCGGAGTATCCAGCGCGTCGTGGAGATTTGCAAGTACTGTACGCGTCGTCGTCGTCGTTCAAAATAAAATCTTGCAAAGAACGGCGTCTGATTTGAACCACACAGGCTGTCGTGCTGCCCATGCGAAGTCCTATAGAGAAGGCGACCGTCACGATCGACTTCTCTTTAGAAAATAGCCAGGCAGCGGAGAGGAAGAGAGATGAGCTTGCAAAAGCAAGAGAGTCGATCCCGAGCAAAAATATTTGTCGCCAGCGACGAGAGCAGCGACGAGGAGGACCGCAAAAAGTAGGAACCCTTCCTTGGACAATAAATTCCTCGCAGCGAGTTGTCATTCTATACCTTACCGTCCATCGTACCAAGTTTTATCACTTCAAGTGCACGCGTTCATGTCCAAAGTCTAAGTTCAAATTGTCGAAAGATAAGCGACAATATTGCTGACGCGGACCAAGTAGCAGAAATATGTGTGTATTTCGAGTCACCTCTGATCAGTACGGACTTAGAGCACCCTCTGCGACACCAAAATTTGATATGGAAAATCAGCGAACTCCAGAGAAACAGATCGGATCGAAGATGTCCTGGTTTAATCGAGCCTGACCTCAGAACAAACTTGGACAAGATACCTTCCATCCATGAGCAGGATTCTTGCAAGTGATCATTGCTAGTGTGAGTTTCAGCTCGGCAAACACACACTGTAAAAGTGTCCGGACTTCGAGCACCTGGGTCTACACGGCGTGCTTGAGTACCCTTTTACCGCATACTAGACTCAAATTCAAAAAAGGACTCCATACAGGTAGCGTACATGTGCAGTACATAAAATTAATGCATGCTCCACTCTGAACTATGTAAACAGTAAAATTAGCCGGATTCGCGGCAGCATCACCTAACGCATTGAGGAATACATCAAGCAAAGACGTTCGTATCCGCCGGCCACCACTTCGCCCACATCTCCTCAGTGTCGAATGCAGGCCTCACAAGTGAGCCAGGGAAGAGGGACAAGCGGGCGTGTAAAGGCCATATAACCCCATAAACCGCATCCTTGTTGCCCGCACACCGAGCAAGTGAGTACCCAGTTCGCCGTGGGTGTCGGCACAGTTCATTGCATGTAAAGTGGTACTCGCCCGCATCACCGCGATTGATAGAGCACTAAACCCACTCCCTGTTACCAGCGCAGGTTTGAACTCGGAAACTCATCAGAGTCATGATTGGCAGGCAAACCTACAAACCAATCGGCTACACGCGTTGGTACTCTGTGACTATGTATGTTGATACTCTGTGACTATGTATGAAGCACAAAGTCAAAGTGAGGTAGTGTTGATTGTGCACTTGACAAGTATTTCACGCGTTCTACTCCGTTCAGACACTTTTCTGTTTTCTTGTCGACGAAGTCAGAGCTACGCTTGTGATGCTGGAGGTTTTATTTGTGTAGATAAGAGAGAGAGAGAGAGAGAGAGAGAGAGAGAGAGACCGTTTTCAGCAGCACAGCTTACCACCATGTGTTTGTTCTTCGCGGCCGGGTCGTTGAGAATATGATCAAAGCAAGTGAAGACCGACAACTGGAAGAAGAGAGGGATGAGTTGGCAGTCGTGAGCAATACGATACATCATCTTGACAATACAGTGGTTGAGTGTGACGGAGTTGGTTGTGTAGCGGCTCAGCAGCAAACTGTAGTTGCGAACTACACGGAAATTAGCGAATCTGCAAAGTCAAAACAGCCAAAGAGAGTGAAAGCCAAAACTTTGTTAAAAAGGCTCACACGCATAGAGTCTTGGTAATACATACACATGGAATATTAACTACATGTACATGTACTAGAACTTGAAATAGACAGATAGCGGCCCGCCAATGATTTACTGGTACGGGTAGATACATATGAACAGTGTTGGCTCAGTGCTCTTACTTGGCAACATAAGTGGAAAGATTGAACTCAAAGTCGTAAGAGACAGATCGTCCTCGTCCTTCTTCTTCCTCGTCGTCATCAGCGCCAGCACCAATGAACTCCTGAACGGGCTGCTCACCACCTTCACCATTGGCTGCCTGTGTGGATGCTGCAGTCTCCTCTTCATCATTGGGTTCCGGGGCCAAGTCTGAACAGAGGACCCATACAAAAGATGGTGTGTTTGCTTTGCGACTTGAGACAATTGTTGCAACATACACGCACACACGCGTGTGCGCATACGCATCCACACACACACACACGCACGCGCACACACGCACGCACGCACGCTCACACACACACACACACATCCACACACACACACACACTAGAAAATACCGCCTGGAGCCCTCAGGGATGCAAAACTTGGAACGTAGCCAGGACGTTTTCCAAGGCATAAAACCACCTCTGTACATGATAGATATTGTGTATCACGTCACAACACCTGCCGCGGCGAAAAGGTTGACTTTATTTTAACTCATTTGCCCCATCGCGCAACTGTCGCCATACTGATTGCGAAACGTTTCCCGTGCACAGCGTGAAGTGCAAATCAGAATAAAGGCCAAGCAAGGTCCACAGTCGCGAAACAGATAAGTCTGATAGCAATGGGAGCAACACACAGGGGCATGTACAGCAAGACAAGACAGGTTGTGCCGGTGCAAGCACTTTAGGAGAGCGTGTATAGTTCAACGTCGTACCTGGCATGATGAGGTTGAAGAAGATCTGGCGCATACACACAATCTCCTCATCCACAGTGCTGTCAGGCCGGCCAAACGTACCGTCTCTCCAGATATCCCTGCACCAGACATTTCCCAACAGAACACACAAACACCAACACATGTACTAATGACACACCAAATCATTCAGCATCAAGTCTGGCATTTTTCCGGGCTTTGTAAATGCATGAAGCACTTGGTGAGTGTACAAAACACAGAAACATGTCCTGCGTCGCAATAACGTCACAACGTGCACGTTCATTCGATAATTCGTACCAATTCCAGACAAGAAGCCATCAATGTGATGTCTGCCAAGCGGATGCAAATGTTGACAGGCTTGATGATAAATTTGAGTAGGGAAGAACCAAAGTATTTCAAACAGGAGAGGAAAGAGAAATTCTAGGGACTTCAAGACACCACACACCAATGGTGACACCATACAAATAGCCAACACAAGCAAGTTTCAAGTAATCGTTGCCCGCTGACCTTGCCGCACGGAAAAGCTGAGCAGCACGGCGATACGCACTGGAGAGAAGATGTGAACGAATCAACTCAGCAGTCGTTGTCCTACAGAGAAATGCGCAGACATGAGGAAAGGAGGATGTCACAACGGCTCGAAAAATGTGCCAAAAGACAAGACGGGAGAGAGAGAGAGAGAGAGAGAGAGAGAGAGAGAGAGAGAGAGAGAGAAAGAGAGAGAGAGAGCTGCAAACACAAAGCAGCCAATACATGCACGTCTCGACAGTTACTCAGCAAAGCAGTGTAGCATGGAGTTGATTACAGACATGGCTACTAAGATAGGGCTCTCCTACTCTTGATATTTCTCCTACAGTATTCCCAGTGGGAGGCAGCGGAATATTGAGCTGGTCTATATATGAAGAACTGGGCTTTCAACATGTCCTCCTCATCGAAACGCACCCATCAAAGTACAGAGTGGAATTGGCGGTTGCCAGCTTTGGACAACCCATCACCGGGACCTACCTCTGCACATCTTCTGGAAGCTCGCTTGCAGCGTCGAACGGAATGGCATTGTTATCGTTATCGTCACCCTGGGACAAAGACTGAAGTGCAAGCGTAGCAAACTCAGAGTGCTCCTCCCATAGCTCTTGCATCTGATCATCTGACAACGACCAGGGCCCTGGACAACAGAGATTAACAGACAGAACAATCACAGCCCACACAGCAGCAGCCAACTTTATCACGGACTCAGTCGTTATGGTAGTGCCAGAATATACAACGCAGTAATGGTGTCCAGCACACAGTTACTTCGACCTACTTCCCCGCTGGTAGAGCTAGTTCGGTGGCCAAGGCCGTCCATGCACCATTCAGGCCAGATACACTGCAGTGAAGTTGTGAAGAATCCACGAACTTTACGGATACAATACAAAGTGCGATGGTGGGAAGTGATTGTGACACATTCAGGGCATTTTGAACACAGAGACTTTGCAACTACTGATCACAAGTGCAGGTACATGTAGCACATACTGCTGTAAACGTAGAGAATGCAGGTTGCCAGATTTTTAGCACAAATAAATCCACATTGAAACCTCCCCTTCTACAGAAGTAGTAGTATTCACTGACCTCGTTTGTTAGCTGCAGCTCCGCCACGGCCACCGCCAGCAGCACCCCCACCACCACCGGACTTGTTCTTACGCCCCTTGGAGGCTTTCTTCTTCGCCTGTACCATGATACGGCCGCCACGATCCTTGCAATACCGCTCGATCAGCTTGAGGTACAGGTGGACGGTTTCTACGACATCAGCCAGGAAACTCCTGTACAAGAGACACGACAAGCGAAGAGAGTGAATACAAAATCGGTCAGCTCTGCCACTCAAACTGCTACGAAGAGAGAGAGCGAGAGCGAGAGCGAGAGCGAGAGAGAGAGAGAGAGAGAGAGAGAGAGAGAGAGAGAGAGAGAGAGAGAGAGAGAGAGAGACACACACACACACACACGGGGAAACAGTACATGCCGCAGTGTCATACTCACTTGTCTGATTTGACTTCATCATAGGACTTGAGCAGCGATACAAACACATCACGATACTCCGGAATGTAGAAGATGTTTCCTGGGAGGTATATGTAGGCGACGGCAAAGAAAATACGTGAAATCAACACCGATTGCTGGGTTCATTTACAAGCATCTACTTCCTCCGCGTCATTAAAATTGTTGCTTCGCACATCACAATGTTTGTGACTTGGCTCGTCTTAGTCAGACTGTCGGAATCGCTGTTTTCTTTGTTCGAACATTGGTGCTACCCTTCCTGCGCAATGTCTACTTGCTACTGAAGCCATGGTGGTCTCGGACCTTGTCGGAGCTCTCTTCCGCACCAAGCAAGTTCATTGCGCTCCGCACTATTACGTCCCAGAGTGCATATCGTTTTTCTGGAGTTCGTGCCGTCCCACATCGCTCCTTGGGCATTTATCAAGACTGCAAGCTCGGGTATAAGAATCCTGGTATCTCTCCTGAATACGAAATGCTGAAGTTGACGATGGCAAGTACAAAGTGTTCTCAAATTCTTAAAATGCGCTACTTGTGGCGCATGTTGCTGCGAAGGTAGCAGGTCTGAAAACACCAACAAAATCAGTGAAGCGCTTGCCAAGGAAAGAAGGTGCGGAACTGCTTACCCTATCTCGCTGGAAGGTCATTAGAGTGTACTTGAAAAATGCTAGCTTGCCTTCATCGCCTACCACCAGGAGGCATGGATCGCTTGAAAACGAAGTTTCTTGACCTGAATTTCAACGCGCGTCTTGTTCAGCGTGTTGAGTGCTGAAGGGTCTGCCTCAAACTCTGATGAATACGTCGACCTTAGCTGCAAGTGAAGCGAAGTGGGAGGCCACAAACTAAAGCTTGGTCTGTCGACAATGCTCTGCCTCAATTTCTAGCTGATTTCTTTGCCCTTCGAGTGGAAAAAATAAATTCGAAGAATCGCTCTGGGAAGCGACAATTTTAATGACGCGGAGGAAGTACATCCACGGGCACAGACAGACACACATACACACAGGCTGAAAACGAAAAGCACAATACATGTATCCCGACAACGCCAGGGTCAAGCAAGGGATCGGCATCAATTGAAAAACACACCACGGCAATAGGAGTTGCACCCAGCAAGCAAGCTATACTTGCGAGAACTTACTCTGCATGATCTTGGCATTGTCACGCACTTCCTCGTTGGACGACAGAGACAGCATCTGTACGTACTGCAACAGTTCATGGTAAGCTTTGAGGGCGTATTGTAACCTGAAACACACACGCAGGCAGAGAGGCAGTCGTCAGTTTGTAGTACACCTAGAGCAAACTTGCTTCACCAACCAGTGGCAGTATGACAGTTGTTTGGTGATTTTAAAGGTTTGGGCCATCCCGGAGAAGGGTATAGCACAAAAAAAGTCAAGTTACAATTCCATGGCCATCACTTGCATGCTGCTCTGGGCAAGCATGCGACGTGGTCTAGATGCCACAGGGTAACTCTACACACAACAGTACACCTTCCACCTGCCGGTGCGGCATCAAAGTCCCAGGATAGCAGGTAGGATGGAGAGCACATCTCAGGTCAAGGCTAACATACGCGTGCAGTAGATACAGGGAAACCGTGTCTAAGGCGACCGCTCAGGCGACCGCTCAGGGGACCTTCACAACGCGGTCCCTGTGTACAGGTGGTCTTCTTACCCAGGGTCACTCGACTGAAAATAACAACCCCTTGTCCTAGTCGTAGTGGTCCTCTGGGACAGGTGGACACCGTATCAAAGTGGTCGCTTTGGCAGGTCAATTTCGTATCGCAATCCTTGATTGGCTAGGGTACCCCGTAAGGAGACTATAGGCCTGTGGGAACTGCCCTAGAGAAATATGAATAAATACTATACTATACTATACTATACTATACTATAGTACTACAGGTGTCACTGTACATGTATGTGTACATACATTATAGTATACTCTACACCAATGTGTTAGGCTTCTTCAATAAGTACAAGTCATGCAGAATGCACCAGAAATCAAAAGTTCGCACCGTTTCGACCATGGCCTAGCAGCCGCTTGCTTCTCTATTGAAAGACTCTCGAACGTGGAGAACACATGCTTCATGATGAAATTGAACGTGTCCATTGTAAGGGTCTCGCTGGACAGAACAAAACCAACAAAGCGCACTACAAGGTTGAAGGTCAGAGAAATAAAAACACATCTATCCATTCAGCTCTGCTCTGTATTGTGAAAGAATGTCAAAACCGGTTTATAAGGGAGCATCTCATAAGTTCGCATTTTGTTTCTAAACGTAACGCATTTCGAAACGGGGGTAGGGGGGTAGCGCCCATTTCGGATAGAAAAATGACAGTTCGCACATTTTCTCGATGTGTGCAATACAGTGCTGTGCTTGTGCTAGACCGCTTCAGACAGCAGGGTACGGGTGTGTTTTAGGTGTAGATCTAACCCTTGCACTACGCATGCAGGCTACTCAGAGGTGTCAAATGTCACACCAGCCAGATCAAACCGTGTACCTGCCACCTGGCCAGCTTTGACAGTACAGTCGTTGTGGAGGAACTCTGTTTATGTGTGTGTACATGTCATTGCAGGCACAGTGGGTTGGTCAAAGACCATGATTGAGATTCGAGAGGCACCTGGTTCAAGTCCTGCCTGGGAGCGGTTTTTCCAGCCGTGCTGCTACCCACAGTCAACTGGGAACTTGTGGCCAGGCACAAGGGGTACATGGATGCAGCTAATGGGGTCGTTCTTGGCGCTTGTGCCAGTGGTTGTGAGACCTACCCACTCACCCCCACCGTTAGGCGCTGCATCTGCCGCTAGGGTTTACCGGGTGTTAGCGGCCGTCGTGAGTTCCCTTCGGGAACGGACACGATAATTTACTTTTTTACTTTTTACATGTCATTGATTGAACTAAGACTGTAACTAATACTTACTTGTACTCAGTAGATGTGGTACTACTGTATGTCATTCACTTCCACACTAGCGTCCATGTCCATGTGCTTGAACATTGTACATGATTGTGCATACCATGGCATGTACAGTACAGTAGATCTACACTGAAAATGTGCGATAAGATTTTCAAATAGTGGGGGGAGGTAGGGGGGTAAAGTCTATTCGAAATGCGTTACGTTTACAAAAAAAGTGCGAACTTATGAGATGCTCCCTAACTTAAAAGTACCCCCCCCCTCCCTTACTTGGGGCCTCGATTTCTCCATTTTAAAATGACGGTGAAACCCCGATTGTAAGTCGACTACCCCCTCCCCCCTTTTTGGTTCGGGTTTAGGTCACAAAGAGCGTACATATAGCTGGTTAACCCTTTGTGACCCAATCGATCGATTGGTATACAGTGGCACTTAAAATATTATATCTCTGGTGTTCCTTCCCCGATTTTCATAAACAAAGCGTCTACGTCTCGAGAGGAACCTTGGCTATCACGTCGAAGTTATCCGAAGTCTCTACGAGGTACGATGCCGCCGTGGTGAGACTCGAGGTCGGCGGAAAACTGAAAAATTCACTCCGATCGAAAAATTCAAATTTTCACACTGCACCTGGCAGGGGTTTTTCCCGGAGTGCTTCGTCATACCCAAGCATGCTGCACACCAACATTTTGCGCTTGAAACGAGCTTTCCGCTGTAGTTTATTTGAAGTCGATGTGGTGAAGGAGAATGGAATGGCGGCTGTTTGAACTTTGCTGGAGCTGTTCGTGCACGGCTGCTGTTTTGAGCAGCATTCTAGGCCACGCAGAGCAGAGGCCGTGCAGGTAGCTGGCTTGAGTGTGGTATTAGTCGCTTTGTCTTGGAAATACCTTTCCAGCGGTGGTACGTTTGTAAAAATCGGTGAATGTCTGGCAGAGATACAGCAGTGAGGGCAAAGTGCAATGAAAGAAGCAGCAAAGCCACACATGGCACTGGAATCAGAAAGCAGAACGACACGACAGGGAGAAGAGCAATCGAACCATTTACTCTTGCCTGTACAGCCACTGCTAGTACTGTATACTCGTTGTGTGTGTAGAATACTCACCTTACAACGTCTGTGTTGAACTCATGTAATCGGGAAAACTCCATGAAGAACCTGAAAGAACACGACCAGCAGCAGCAGAACAAAGATAAATTAATAATTTCAAGTCCTGAAACAACTCACCTGGATACATACATGCGCACACAACCTCCAACATGCATGCACGCATGCACACACCTACTACCCACACCCATCAACAAACTAACCGGAGGCACCAGAAATAGTAGGTCTCGTCGTTCGTCTGACAGCGCCCGGCCATGAGTCGGCTCTGTACACCACACAAGAATACAGGGTACAACATCCATTAAAGTTGTGTGAGCATTTCGTGGGTGTTCTCCTACGTTCTTCCCCATCATAATACAATAGATATTTCCATTGCACAGCATCAATAACCATGCAAAGATAGTAAAGGAGACGACATTTCGGGCAACACCATCCCTCGCCTAAACAATGCACAGACAACTCCACGGTTCTCTTGGTGTCTAAATGATGGGCCCGTCCACAAGAGTGGGTGATATTCATTGTTGGTATGACCCCTAGCAATAACGAGAGACCAATGACTACTGTCCACAACATCGCGAATAACGGTCAGGCTTAATCCTGTGGAAGCCAATGTCAGTGCCAGAATTCTATTTAAATCAGGCTTGTATTGAAGCGCTGCGACCCACAGTTAATTGGGAACTCGTGGCCTGGCACGAGGGAAACATGGATGCAGTGAATGGGATTTTCGATCTTTGACCACTTTGTGGTGGGTCTGATCTACTCACCTCCCACCGCTTAGGAGCTGCATCTGCGCCTTGATCCAAGAGGGTGGTGGCGTTCCTTTCGGCCGAGTCTCACTCGAACCGTGATTTTTTTTTAAAATTTTTTATTGAAGCCAGGTATTTCAATGTATGGCAACACTAGCACCAGGCCTATGTGTCAACGGTCCATCTTGAAAATCAGGCTTGCATTCAAAACAGGCTTCTATATGAAAAAGGCGATTGATACAAGACAGGACAGTATTTATTTTATAATTGTGAGAAAACGAAGGTACACGTACCTTGATGGTTTGCATGGTTAGGTTGTAGCAGGACTTGAGAAAGTCCACACAGAAAGTTGCCAGAACCTTCCTGCATGGCGGTGGAACACAGAGAACACAGGGAACACAGAGAACACGGAGATTAAAGCACTGTGCAGCAGCAGCAGCATACTCAGCTGGGCAAGACACAGGATTATACACGCTGTGCATGTGACTAAGTACGCACATCCAATTCCACACAAGCGGAATGGTGGCACATGAGAGAAGCATGGTGCAGCAGTATGTTACCAGAACACACACACACACGCACGCACGCACGGACACACACGTAGCACATGTATCACAATAATCATCACCGGGACACCCGTACATGGTTGCAAGATTACGCTGTGGACATTCAAGTTTCTGATCAAGTCGATTGAGAGGAGTCTGCGGTACTTACCGAATGCTTAGTGTAGATGATCGCTTCAGGTCATCGGCTTCGGCTGGACGCCGGTTACGGGACTTCTTCCGCCCTCGCTTACCATCATCGAATGATATCGTGTTTGCCTCTACCAGGTGACAGAAAGCATGCAGTGCATGGTCAAAATAGTGTTTGCCTCTAGCAGGTGACAGAAAGGATGCTGGGGTCGGTACTGTCAAGTGATCCGGATAGTAACACAAAGTATGGATGTTACGAATCCACCTGTTTTCCCCCCACCACATGTCTTTCTGTGAACCTCAGCCTAAAGAGGGATGGGGGATAAACGAGGGAGAATGAAATCGTGTTTGTACTCTACCAGGTGACAAAAAACATGCAGTGCATTATATAGAAAATAGGCTCTAGAATCAGAGACAATATTTAGGTAAGCAGTACGGGTCGGTACTGCCAAGTGATCCGGATAGTAAATTTACTAAATTAGCAACACAGAGTATGGATTTTACGAGTCCACCTGTTTTCGCACCACCACATGTCTTTCTGTGAACCCCAGCCTAAAGAGGGACGGGGGGGGGGGGGGGGGGGGGGGGGTAAACAAAGGCCCTGCTGACTACAAACCAGTGGAAGATACAGAGTCAGTATAAACGGAACATACCTTGCAGAGGCTTATGATAAACCAGCATCCGGTCACCGATGCCCTTCACATCCGTACATGTGTACGTGCCCAAGAACCGTGAATGCCTGTTGACACACAGAAACAAGACATGATCGTATGGAGAGCAGCACGTTTAGTTTGTCGATAAACTTGCCAGATGCGCCGGTGCACAAACGTGCACTGGCATGCATTCACATTAGCACTCATTTGCACCTGCACACACACACACACACACACACACACACACACACACACACACACACACACACACATACGCAGGCCAGTGCACTTACCTTGAGTGATACGTTGCTGATTTCTTCGCCTTCATGGCCCGCTCTCTCTCCAACAGCAGTGACAACTCTCTACGAAACACGGAGGAAATAACCGAACACTAGGTCAAGCACACACACAGATCAGAAGCATAACAATCAGGACAAGAGTTCACCTCCAGGCTATGCTGCATGAAAGGACATGGGTGCCCAGCCGCTGTAGTACTCAGGGCATTGCTGGTATCACACCAGCAAGAACAAGAAGAACGAGAACAAGAACGGCGACGACAGCAGCAGCACAAGCAAAAATGTCAGAATATCATGAAGATTCGGCAATTGAGTATATCAGCATTACCGGTTGTCTTCCTCTTTCTCCTCCACGGCCCTTGTCCCTCGTAGCGCACTGGCCAGAGAGGAAGGGTTCTGCAGAGAAGAACACACACAGCAAAACCAGGTTTTCTATCTGTAGAAAAGCAGGGAAAACTGTGCAACACAACGTGGTCTAATGGGGAGCAGAGTGTTCATGGGGGCGGCCACCACCTGGTGAAAGGAGAGACCAGGGCGGTGGTGACCCACAGAAACAGTGTGTCACAACTTCACACTCACAAGTGCTACAGAAGTACACATGCCATAATGAATGCTCACCTGTTCGCGCATCATCAGGAACATGATCTCAGCAATGTATAATAACCAGTCTTGCTGCAAGCGAAGTGAGGAGCAATCAAGAACAAGATAAAGGCGATTAGCACTCAAGAATACACTCTTCTAAGGATTCGCCAGCTCCATTCTCAAGAAGTGAAGTCAGCAAGTAATGACGCCCTACTTGGAAATTATGTACAGCCCGGAAAATTGCTTATAAGTTTGCAGGCAGTGTAAGCTCAGTGCAAGCTGTCGAGCTTAGCTTAGCGTAGTCTGACACTAACAGACATGCAAGACTGTGTATTCAAGGCATGACTGATGAGTGCTATCCTCGTGCCAGTGATAAACTACATCTGCGAAGGTACCAGAATGGGAAAACAGCACGGGAACAAAATTCACGGTTGGTGCGAGACTCAGTTTGCTGCATCCATAGGAACACCACCCCCTCAAGGATTAAGACACAAATGCAGCTCCTAAAGCGGTGGGAAATGAAATGAAAGCAGTTGCTTGTCAACATAGAGCTGAGCTGATGAACTTACTTCCTCCGAGGACGATGCTATGTAGATAAATAACTCGAAGAAACCATTGGTGTGCAGACTCCTGAAAAGGCCACAAAGAAAGCAAATCAACGGAAGCAGCCTGTCAAACGTCTGTCTGCATACCTCCACAATATACAGAGTGTGCTGACATGGACTCGCAAGGAAGCACAACCAACTTCTTCAACTCAAGGCGACTTGACTGAGCCTGCAAGCTTACCAAATAATCTGGTCGTGAACGCTGACATCATCGGAAGTACGCTGCAAAAGCAGGCGACAGAACATGAACCAAAATTAGCAGGCTGATAAGTCACGCTCAGACTCTACCTACACTACTGACAGTGACTAGTCCGCCGGGAGATTGACTCTACCTACACTACTGACACCACTGACAGTGACTAGTCCGCCGGGAGATTGACTCTACCTACACTACTGACACCACTGACAGTGACTAGTCCGCCGGGAGATTGACTCTACCTACACTACTGACACCACTGACACCACTGACAGTGACTAGTCCGCCGGGAGATTGTTGAATTGCCATAGTAGAGTAGAACACGTTTGGCAAACAAAATCACATTCCGGACACAACTGTTAGTCCCAAATGTTCCTAATAATAGAAATTAGCAGTGAACTCTGCAACCAGGTCACCACTCTCAGGACACAGGGCGCTCCAGTCCCAAAGGTGGCCGTAGTTGAGACAGAAAAAGAGAAGTTCCACTCGTACTGGATGTGTAGCCGTGAGTGCAGGCATTGGGGTATGCAGAAGTGGTACATCAGGGATCACACATCGTACCACATACATCTTCAGCACAAGAACAGTGTACACAGTGTACCAGACTTTCACTTATCAGTGAACCACAGACAAAAGCATACCAAGCCCCCCCCCCAGTAGTAAGCATAGTGAGGGTCCTGTGACCGGTACATGCCCTGCCCCAAAAATGGGCTACTATCGAAAAGGGGTACTAATAGTACCCCATTTTTACTGAAAATTATTTTTGGCCCCGTTTTGCGGATAAAAATAATGCTGCCCCTGTTATTTTGTACCCCTTTTTGGTCCTCAGTCTGATTATCTGACGTCATGACGATGCCTCGCGTCGGGCAAACTTTTTTTCAGACTAAATGTGCATGCATGTGCAAAATGTTTCTCATTTGTGCGATGCTGTGGTACATGGTGCATGCAGCTAAGATGATTGCAGACAACGGTTTGTCCGTACTGCTCATCCGGCCGTAGTTATTACAGTCAGACCTCGCTTATCCCGTCCTCTTTTATCCGGATCCCTCGCCATCCGGAAGAAAATCGCTGGTTACCGATTTACAGCATATGCCATGCATACATACAGTGTGTGTGTGTTCGATTATCCGGTTCCCTCGCCTATCCGGATATTTTCGTGGAAAACGGATGTGTGCGGTTAAACGAGGTCTGACTGTACTGGTGTTCCTATGAACGATTCTATATTGGATTAGGTTGTGTTTTATCATATTATTACAATGGATTCTGAATTTGAGATTCTCCTTGACTATGTACGTACAAAGAGGCAACTTGTTCAGGAGAAAAACGAGGAAGAAGACAAAGAGGTTGAGAAAGCAGAAGCAGAAGTTCATTGTCATCATGAAGAACAATTTGAGCATGCAGGATATACAGTTTGTTCCAAGTGTGGATTGGTAATGGCGAACATTTACATGCCCGAGGTGAATTGGAGACAGCGATTTACATAATGCTAAAACCCAGGGATCGATTTATCCGGGTTCGCATCGCAGTTTGCGAATCAAAATTCACTGCCTGCGATTCGTTTTTCGTTTTTTATCGCCCAAAACTGCGATGCACTGGCCATGCATACCGGTATGTACAAAGACCATTCTGTACTGATTGTGTGCAGTTTACATGCGACTGTCACTACTGACTAGGGAGTAGTACTACTCCAACCAACTGGCCTGCCCTGTTTAGTCCGCGCGCGGGCGCGGGTCGCGCTCTGTATGATTTTGGACACTGCACTAGCACCGCAGTCTTTGGAAGTTAGTTTTGTACACTGCACGGCGGCAACTTTCCCTGGAGTTCTCCTTTCTTCTTTCACTGTCAAGCTCAAATTCAGTTTGCTTCTGTTCGACAAGACACAGTTGAAGTAGATAGTTCTTAGTCCCATGTGGCCAACATGTCAGTGAATCTGATCACTGTCCAGAAGTGGGAAAAAGAACTGGACGCGCCAGGAATGTCGATTCGTTTCGATGGAGCAAAGCGAAAATTCTGTACACTTTGCACGGAATGTTACGATCGTTTGAGCGCTTTCCTGAGCTTTCTTTGTCGAAGGAATCAGTGGAACTACCCTGTTGAAGGATACTGTGTTGTGATGAACTAACAAGTCGGGTGAACGCTGAACATGTAACAAAACCCTGACGTAAATATTCATGTCGACCGTTCGCTTGGAAAAGCAAATAGCAACAGCAGCTATTGTCCACTTCTGTACAAAATCCTGCTATTGTACAGATATACATGATTGTACACTTTTGATGAAGGAAAACTGCTAATCAATACTGGGAGTTGCTAGTCAATTGCAAAACTGTGTAGCAGTGACTGCTATGCAAAAAAATCAAAGTAAATCGATCCCTGAAAACCTATACGAACTCCGATCGCATTCAAGGTGTGAATCGGCACCTGTTACATTTTCTCGACAAGGTAAAGCTAACATTACCACATGCACAGCATCACCCTGTTCAAGAGTCACTACAAGCAATGAAGAAGACCAGCAAGTACAAAAGTATGAATTATGCCATAGTCTTGTCACGTATACTTCATGATAACTTGGATGCAGTTCGCTTGCTATGTTTGTACTTACCGCGCAGTACTGTGTCGTGGTTGCGGAGCAGTCGCACAAGCTCTCCCATAATGCTTCCCACTTTTGTTCGTCTTACATCTCATGGAAGGCATCAAAGATGCTCTGCTCACTCCTATGCAGCTGAACACTCTTCAAACCAATCTACCATTGCTATCATCTAGCGACATGCATATGATGGACACGCTTCTACTATACTCGTGGTGATTTGCCAGGCAAGTGTGTTATTGGTACTGCAAGTGATGGACAATTCAACCAAGTTAAGCTCTCTATCCAAGCTCCAGTGGACGCCATCATTCGTTTCTTCCTGAAGACCTCTGCTGCACTCAGGCGTGCTGTGAAGTCGCCGCACGTTGACAAGATCCGAACTAACATCTTCCCCACTATACACCAGGGAAAGACTGTAGCTACGGTCTACATCAAGCCATCCCTATCTCAGTCGGATTTCCTACTGAATGAAGAAAGTCAGCTCTAGTATCTGTACCCTTCCACCATATCATTCAATAAGGAGAAAGGCGACTTCAAGGCATTGCTTTCACTTCAGGCGTCCCAGTAATAACTGTAGACTCACACCCGTGCGACAAGGAGCATGATATCATTGGTGTCATTCCTGAAGCTGAGATGCCTCTTCTAATGAGTGCATTCCTCAAGAAGCGACTTCGAGGAACTGTCAATCGCCGATAGCGGTATGCTAATGTACATCAGCAATGGGAAGACGCAAATGTTCTCCTACTTCAACCGTGAGCTACGGAACGAACTCTCAATGTTCATAACGTCCTACGGTAACAAGATGTCAGTATCCCAGTACGTATGTCTTGTACTTACGATAAACAGCAATCAGTTCATTTAAGAATTAAGAAACGAATTGTCAACGGTTATAATATGTTGTTATGGCAACAAGATGTCCGTCTCACAGTATGTACGCCTTGTACAATCAATTAATCAAAATCAATTCATCAGATACGACTCCGGCAAGATATTCACAAGCCCCGCAGTCAGGCTCCGCGTGTAAGCTAAACGGCGCATCACCTTCCATGTTAAAGTGGAGTTCAATGAGGCGACGGATGCTGCCAGCAGTGTCACCTGCAGCACGAGTAAAAGTGTCCTCAGGAAGAGATCGAGACCGGAGGATGACACGGAGTCCGAGTGAATCGTGAAAGTTGGAAAGGTATGCTTCTCTCTCTCTCTCTCTCTCTCTCTCTCTCTCTCTCTCTCTCTCTCTCTCTCTCTCTCTCTCTCTCTCTCTCTCTCTCTCTCTCTCTCTCTCTCTCTCTCTCTCTCTCTCTCTCTCTCTCTCTCTCTCTCTCATTTATCTAACAGTATCAGATACAAATTAATATACCAGTAAAGATGTCATATCACATTCAAATATATAATCATAGCACAGATGTCAATCGTAGGCCATAATTATTGTATTGGTTGATATTTCAATCAACTCATTTCGTGATGTATTGTTCTTTTATGTCTCATTATTGTTCACCTAACTGGCTGGACAGTAGGGGTGAAACGGTTTGGGTAAGGAACCGGTTTTGGAACCGCCAGCTGAAAAGAATCGCACTACGGCGTACCATCCCCAAGCTAACGGACTGGTGGAACGGCTCCACCGCCAACTCAAAGGCTCACTCCGTGCCTTGCAGTCTCCTGCTGACTGGGTGGCCCAATTGCCACTCGTGCTGCTTGGCTTAATGATAGCTTGCATGCCGTCCTACCGGTAGGACCCAAGAAATCGCGCTGCAAAAGTGCTTTTGGTTGAGAAATTTCTTGAAACAATTGTTGAGATGAGGTCTTTGTCAGGCAAAGTAATGGCGCAAAATGCAAGACTATGTCCAGTGCATTGCATACGCGCAATTTTATCAATTGTCAAAATGGCCGCATATACTCCTGTCGGAGCGCTAGCAACTCTGTCCAAAGTGAATTTTGACCATGGCACATCAATCGTGGTGAGGTACTAATGTTTTTATTAGTCTACCAAGGCAGTGGAGTGCATAATTCCATACACCGTTTCCATGGTTACCATTTGCTGTTACCATGGAATTTCGTACTATGCCTTGTGCGATCACGTCTAAAATTTGTGGACTCCTTCATTAGCCCCTGAGCAACAGTTTAGGGTCAAGTTTTAGGCCAATGTTACAACAATGGCCATGCAGCATGTCTGTGTATGATGGTCCTACCGGTAGGTCCTACCGGTAGGACCGAGGTCTATGCAAGCTATCATTAAAGGGGAAGTATATCCTAAAATCAAATTTTCACCAGTTGTAGTTTTCGGGGTGCTGAGTCGAATGGTCTTGGTCCGAGGACGCTGAGACGCTCCCTTCCTCCTTTATTCCCAATCGAACTCGCGCGCTTCAACCGAAACTGGGTGTCTGCGCCCTACTAGATAGGGATTTGTATGGAAAAAGTCACTAAAAACGCCATTTCGTTCTTATAAAAGCGCGGATGACCGCGATTGGTCCATATGTTGTAGTCGTTTGGCCGCTGAGTCGACTGGTTTTGGTCCGAAAAGGCTGCGATGCAGCTTTCGACCCTTATTCCCAATCGAACACGGTTGAGTAAGCGGTCACGTGCTCATGCGTACGCCAGTCGCCTAGTCACCGTGCCTGCAGACTACAAGTTTCATATCAAGATTCAACTCAAAGGTTCAAAGCAGGGAGTCGTAAGAGGCTTTTATGACTCCCTGGTTCAAAGGCTCAACTCGAGTGACATAAACGGGCCCAAACAGGCTGTAAATGAGCACGTGACCGCGTACTCAACCGTGTTCGATTGGGAATAAGGGCCGAATGCTGCATCGCAGCCTTTTCGGACCAAAACCAGTCGACTCAGCGGCCAAAAGACAACATATGGACCAATCGCGGTCATCCGCGCTTTTATAAGAACGAAACGGCGTTTTTAGTGACTTTTTCCATACAAATCCCTATCTAGTAGGGCACAGTCACCCAGTTTCGGTGGAAGTGCGCGAGTTCGATTGGGAATAAAGGAGGAAGGGAGCGTCTCAGCGTCCTCGGACCAAGACCATTCGACTTAGCACCCCGAAGACTACAACTGGTGAAAATTTGATTTTAGGGTATACTTCCCCTTTAAGGTCCGCTCTCAATGCTGATAGCTCCGTCAGTCCGGCCGAGGTGGTGTACTGTACCACGCTTCGTCTCCCAGCCGACCTTCTGCTTTCTCCCTCGTCCTCAGCAGCCTCCCTCTCTACTGACGTATTCGCCTCCCAGCTGCAGCAAACAATGCGCCAGCTCTGCCCTCTACCTGTTCGCTTGTCACCGCACCGTCACACGTATGTTCCAGATGACCTGGCCACGGCCCAGCGGGTCTTCCTCCGGCATGACGCCACACGTAAGCCTCTGCAGTGTCCATATGATGGCCCATACAGCGTCCTGAAGCGTGCTGAGAAGTACCTGCAGTTGGAGATAAATGGCAAGCCTGTGGTGGTCAGTATTAATCGGGTCAAGCCCGCCTATGTTGCTGACTACCTTTTCCTGTATTTTCACCTGTGGTTTGGCTGGTCTTTCCGCTTGCCGTCATCAGCTTACTCCTCTCTATTCTTTGCCTTTTTCAGTCGTTCACTCTCACTACGTTCTTTTTGGTCCGTTCTCTAGGGGGGAGTATTGTGGCGCATCATCACAATATTCTCTGGTATTGCTACGAAACCTTTGCTTTTCACTAAATCGCAACTTGCTCCTCTCATAGCTCTGCACTTCCCTTTTTTGACCATGTTCACCCAAAAGGGTCCTACGGTATATTCTTACGGGTTCAACTCTGCTCACCTTTACCATACCGTATTGCTGTGCTTGCTGTTGCGGTACCCGTTCCGTCAAAATTCGAACCGAAACTCGAAAAATCCCGTTCTCATACGAATACATGTACACGTCAAGTCTACTCAAGATTTAAATGTCTTACCTTACCATCGTTCTTCCAAAGAGTTCTCTAGGTCATTATCTTCTTCGCACATGGACTCTCCGATGTCTCGTTCTTGCTTGTAAAAATGTTTTTTTCTAAAAAATAATTGTCGAAAACGCATTTCGTCGGTCTGGAGAAAAGAGTGCATGGAACCGATACCCGAACCGTGGGAAACTATGCTGACATTAGGGTACCCGAACATGAAAAACATGGAACCGTTTCACCCCTACTGGACAGGGCTTTTCTCTTCTTCTTATAAATGTCTATATAATGTATGAGTGATTATATCGCTGAAAAATTACAAAAAAACAGTGTACAAAACCTTGAAAAATCAAGGTGGTACCCGTAAAAAAAGTACTCGTAAAAAAAAGGTCCGGACCCATAAAATGGGGTCCTAAGACCAAGCCCAACATTATTTTTTATCCGCAAAACGGGCCAAAATAATTTTCACCATAACAACTGGGGTACTATTAGTACCCCATTTTTTGGGGCAGGGCATGTACCTGTCACAGGACCCTCACTATGCTTACCGATACTACTCCCCCCTTCCCTGAAAAAAGAACCCACAGTAGTGAGTGAGGTCAGACCACAAACGGTCACGCATGTTAACTGCTCTGCTCAGCCGACCTTTTCCTCTGCAGGATCAGCTGGGACGTGTAGGATGTTGCGGATGATGCCGAGGATACGCTCGACCAAATGGATATCATCATCGGTACGCTTGTCATATTCTTTCTGGCAGAACTTGCCCAAGATGCCACCAAGCACCTAACAGAAAGCACAAACAAAGTCAACACGTGTACAACAACTATAAGAACTGTAACAGATTTTGCCAAACTCTGAATTGCGTTTCATCACATTGTTCAATTTATAATATCAAACTTCTTTTGATGTGTAAATGCAGTAGCTAGAGAAGTAGGAAAGTGACTTGACCGTCAGCTGTCAATTCAGAACTTCAGCTCAGTTGGTGATCCAAGCCCGGTCATGCACAGCCGACGGACCACAGTGCACAGAAAGAGTATAGCATCATCACTGGGAACTAACCTGAAATACTGCTTCAACAGTGAAGGCTTCCTTGTACCTAAACATTGTAAAAAACACACACACAAGAAAATGAATAAGAAACAAGAAACAAAAGAAACATGGACATGCCAACAGGACACCATAGATGTACAATATCCGAGTGAATCACGCATACACACAACCCTGAACCAATCACCGCAGGAGTGCTCCACGGCAGCATCATTGCACGGACAATGTAACCATCCAGTATATCCTGTGGCACATCAGGTTGGAACCCTGCGCATCGCAACACCTGTTGATTAACACCAAGCCCACCTGCACTGCGCTTCCAGACATCAGGTCCAGGGCAGTACAGCCGAGGAAAAGATCCAGATAAATAACTTCGCTATAAAAGAAAGAATGTAGCAGTAGTACTAGCTAGATAAAGTTTGACAACTCAAACTGTTACCCCTTGTCTGGCACATCCCATAGCTGCAGCCTCACACTCCATCACCAATCCACCTCTCTCTTTCTCTCTCACTCGCTCACTCACTCTCTCTCTCTCTCTCTCTCAATCTCTCAACTAGACTGAGAATACCAGGTCAGCAGGAATATAATTTCACGTAGGGCCACCCAGAATTAATTCGTTGTTTCGGGTCACCCGACCGACCGTCTTTTTTCACCCGACCGCAAAAGGTTTTTTTATATTGTGCATGCAAATGTACGACTAGCGTCGACTACACACACGCAATCCTAATAATAGCAGTCTAGACATCGACCTCATTCTCAGAAGCAGCCAAATGACAGGATGCAGCGCTTGGTGACGAGGTTGGCTTCTATTATCTCCGATCCGCAAATGCCAATCGGTCCTGAAACAGCTTCAGCTCCGCCACCGCATCACTTATTGACAAAGGTTTTGGTGAGAGCTGCTCGTCAGACTCGTTTGCCAGCGAGGCAAAGACCTGGTCCTGGAGGGGACCTGGATCTAATGGGACAATGAGTCAATAATTGCGCGCGCTGGATCGTCTACATTCAGATAATTTGATCGATTGTCTTGATGGACAAAAGCCATTGGATATGCATAATCATGTGCCGGTATGCACACCGCAGTAACCAAAAAATAAAATAAAATAAAATAAAAAATAAACCCGACCGACCGACCCTGGTACGCGTGAGTGAAGTGACCGGAAACAACGAAGTAATTCTGGGTGGCCTAGTGCTTACTTGCGCAACTGTGCGTTGAGCGCCATGTAAACGCCCATATCCATCAGGTCAGCTTTCTTGATGGTCGGATGCTTGTTCATGCATGTTTGTGCCGGCTGTGTCAAATTCAAGATTAGCCTGGAACACAAAGAGGAAAGCAGCACACAGACAGCATAGATAAGCACCTGCACTGCATGTAATGTCAAACACGTACACACAGCAATACAATTGCGCTTCTCCCAACGCAGCAAAATGATGAAAAGAGTCCATAAGTCACACTAAGACACCAGCGGAATGCGGAGCAACTCACCGAATGATAACGTCCATGAGACGTTCGTCCTCGTGGAAGTTCACAAGAACCGAGAGCAAGTCCTGTAAAAACAAACACAAACAGTGTGCCGTCACGCCATTGCAACATATGCACCCAGCATATATAGTCGACTCCACTTATAATGAACTCGCATATAGCGGATTTCGTGATATAGCGAACCAGTGTCCATGTCCCTGTTAGAACCCGTACAAAATGAGTTTTAAATGACCCTTTATAGTGAACCATATCTCGTAGGGCAGCATATAGACTAAGTGCAATCATGCTGGCCACATGCCAGCCATGATGGTGTTGCTTGTACGGTGTGAGCGCATTTCGGCTATAAAGAACTAATTCTCCTGCACGATGGTGTTCGTTATATCAGGAGTCTAATGTACTAAGCACTGCTCGCTCCAGTTCCAGCATAATGGTGTGCATGCGAAACAGTGCAAACTTCATTGCCATTTTTTTAGGCAAACCGTCAAGTCATGAACCTCCAGCTACAAGACTGAACACGAGCTTGTGCAGATGGCTTTAGGTATAAAGTATAGTTCAAAAATGCATAGGCACTCCATACTGCATTGAGTCGCGAACACCTTGGAGCACCGACTTACCTTCTGCAGGATGTGGGCAGTAGCCATCTGCAAGCGATAAGTGCAGGAACTTTCATCGTCGAGCTTCAGGAATGAAATCAAGTCCTTCGCGCATTCTGGTAACGACGACACAGACAGGTAAATGAGGGGGGGGGGGGGGGTGGGGGCACTGTCACATGGCGCAGTGACCATAGACTTGAGCGAGTCATATACGATGACTGAGGTGCATATTCTCGAACAGCTACAACCACATGTATTACATCATCCGTGTCCGGTTTATGCCGCACGTTGCCTTTACGGCACCAATGGGAGGTTGTGCTATGTACATGAAAAATGTAGTAGACTCCGAATTAATGCACACATACTGTCTGCGTGATCAGATCACAGCCTCAGTGGCACGCAGCAATGGGTTTGTTGATCAAATGGCCACCACCATCAACGTCAATGTGAATGTATTTACTTTGTACTGAATTGGGAATTGGTAAAAACTGAATGGGAGGTTGGAGTGCTACATTCTATGAACGCTATGGCCAAAGCTGTGATACGTGGAGCACGCTCACCCCAACACTCCTCTCCGCGATAGTACTTGTCACCCTCCGTGTAACCCAGACCAGCACACGTGGCCAGCAAATCTTCATCCATCTTGGCTAGAGCACCGAAGATAGGGGCATATCGATGCTCTCACAACACGAATTCGACCGTGATTCCTTCCACGAAGGAACCTTGGCGTGTCATATATTTGGTGGAAGCTACGATTACTCAAATCCCATTCTCAAATTGTAGAAAGACAAGAACAATTATTTCAACTTCTGTTCTACTTGTTGAAGTCTGCATGCATTCGTCTTTCTTTTCATGCTGATCCAACTCGGCCTCGACCGCCTCGTTCAGTTTTCCCGCCATTCGAGACAATGAGTAATGCAATGACGAAAAGGGGTTTCCCCACGTGGCAACTGACATGTCATGACACTTGACAGTGAGTGTAACTGCTACACTTCATTATTCGGCTTTCATTTTTTGTATTTTCAGGGTGTATCGGTCGCCTCTAACTCTACAGTCCGGCTGATCGCCTTTGTCCTTTGTTGTTTTCTTCACTGTGGATCTGGAAATGTGAATTCAGTGACCAGCAAACTAGTGCTGTTTGCGTACGTATACCTGAGAAAGATTGGAGGGAGATCTCTGGAGAGTAAAGAAAGTAAATTATACTGTACCAGTAAATTATTATTGAAAATCCAGTGTCACAGCTGTGCTGTTTGGCACCCAGGCCGTGGTGTCTAGCAGTGGAGAACTGAATGAACAAGTGTAGACAGTAGGTAGACTTAGCTCTTCAAAAACTGTTTACATTCAATGGCGTCGACGCCAGTTTGGTTTGGCCAGCTTCTGGGCAATGATGAAGCCACACTGAAAACTGCCTCTGACATTCTTATCAAGTACATTGACAACATTTTGGCCAATCCAGATCAGCCAAAGTACAAGTGCATTCGCCTGGAGAACAACACGTTCAAGGCCAAGGTGCTCTCGGCACGTGGCGCACTGCAGTGCTTGAAGGCCATGGGCTTCGTGCAGGATCCCGAATACATTGTACTGCCGAGGGACGCGGACCTGCGGAAACTCAGTGCGATGCGTCAGAGCCTTGTGCAGCGCACATACGTACAGCCCACAGCTGCTTTGCCTGCAGCTGTGGCACATCGGCCGAGCATTTCTGTTAGTCCGGAACAAACACGGAGTTTCCTGCAACGTGTTACGACTCACGCTGAGCATGTACTGATGTACGAAGATCGATCATTGCAGTTGAAGGCACGTTCGTGTATTCCCGTGGACCGTCTCGATCGGGCGGCAAGTGATGCCGTGCGCCGGGTAGAGGCAGCAACGCCCAATGAGACAAACACGATCAGTCAGCAGGAGTGCTTGCTCCTGGAACTGATGCACTGGTTCAAAGAGGACTTCTTCTCTTGGTGCGATGCACCCGAGTGCGAGCGTTGCGGGGCACCACCTGCTCAAATGCAGTCGGTAAGACCGGTCTTGGCGTTTCACTTGTTTCAACCACTGATGCATTGCACCTACTATAGTTGCCGTGAGTCAAGTCTATTTGGTTCCAGTCACCTGAGTGTGTCGAGTTGCAGAGAATAAGATCCAAATGGCACCAGTGCAGTTCATCAGGGAACTGAGCTATGTTGAACAATGCACGGCTCGACAAATTGCCTTGTGTGCATTTCTTGGCGCCATGTGCTTGTGTCTTAAAGCATTGCCAAGCATTGAATGCCTAGAACTAGCACATACAATGGTTTAAAACTGCCATGCTTAATTACTATTCAGAAAGGAGATCATCCGACAGCATTTGAACTAGGCCTGTTTTGGTGATGGGAGTACATTTCCCTTGTGTGTTTGTATGCATGATGCTATGTTTTCTGTCACCGTTACGTGCTCAGATTGGTCATGTTGCGCCAAACTCCGACGACCTGCGCTACGGTGCCAGTAGAGTCGAAGGTTATCGGTGCTCAATGTGCAGCTCCACGGGCCGCTTCCCACGCTACAACCATCCCGGCAAGCTACTGGAAACGCGCAAGGGTCGCTGCGGGGAGTGGGCCAATTGCTTTACCTTGTAAGAATCAACAGTTACAGTTACTGTTGCTTAGACAGTGACGGTTTTTCTGTGTTTTTCTGTATTTGATTTGTGAGTGATTTTCTTGTTCGGGGGCTGATTGGTATGATCAAGAGTTCATAACCACTCTTGGTATGATTCGTCAATACAACCATGAATAATTTAAAAAAATTAATACGGTTCGAGTGCAGTTTAGTCAGACTGACTTCTCTACGTCCGTAGGATCGCACCCTCAGCTTGTTCAAGGATCAAGGCGCAGGACACAAGCATACATGTCTGTTACATGATGTGAACTGTGTATTGATCGAGTGTGTGATTGGTCCTGGTCTAACTGTTACTACCTTTGTCTTCCAGATGCTGCCGAGCCATGGGATTCGAAGCGCGGCATGCGGTGGACTGGACAGACCACGTGTGGACGGAGGTGTTCTCCGACAGGCAGCAGCGCTGGCTGCACTGCGACCCGTGTGAAGACTGCTGTGACAAGCCACTGATCTACGAAGCGGGCTGGGGCAAGTCGCTCTCCTACATCCTGGCGTTCAGCTTCGAGGAGGCGATAGACGTGACCTGGCGCTATACGGCCAAGCCCGACGAGGTGAGAACTCGGCGGTCTCTGTGTGACGAGGATGCACTGCGCCGGTGTCTGGATGGCTTGAGAACTCAGCGCCAGCGAGCCTTAACGGCTGACCGCCGGCAACAACTGATGCAGCGCTGTGTGGTCGAGGCACTGGAATTCATGTCTGTGAAGTCTGCCGATGACATTGCCGGCCAGGGAAGGACTTCAGGGTCCATGGCTTGGCGCTTGGCACGTGGTGAAACTAGCGGTGACACTGGCAGCACAAGTGCAGCCGCGGCAGCAGGGTCAGCAGCCGTAGCACCCACAGCCATCATCGAGACTAGCTACCTATTCGAGCTATCGGACGGTGACGTGGCTGCGAAGCGGATGCGTGTCCGGTACAGCACTGCATCCGATGCCTATTATCGTCAGCATGCCGATCACTTGGCAAAGAACGATGCTCCAGCACTGCGCGGCTGGAAATCGGGCATATTCATGGCAGAAAATGTGCAGCGTAAAGTAGAGAACGACTGGAAAATGGCTTACTTGGCTCGGCGTTCCGGTGGCAGTGAAGCGTCGGCAACATGGACACTAGATTTATCATCGCACTCGTGTACGGTCGATCGAGCGTCAGTATGCGTCAAGGGGGACGTCTTTGGCAGCGGTCGTATCTCCTGGTCCGTGTCTGCCGACAACGGTGCGCTCGTGGAGCTGGATAGTAATTCACAGGGTGGCGCTATGCCGGAGCTCGATGGAGCGACAATGATTACAGTGACAGCAAGCATGCAAGGCGGTGATGGTGATGTTGCATGGCAGCATACACAGCTGTTTCGCCAGAGCTCGGAAGAGAAGCTGCTATGCCCGCTGGACATTGACTTGAGCGTGCGCAGCAGCTGAGCTCCACCGTGTACTTCATTTATTGCTAGTCTTACTCCCCAATGAGCTGGCTCGTTGTAGTTCTTTTCCCGCTTTTTCCATTGGCAGTGCTGATTTTGCTGGATTCCTGCTCCTGTTCCCCACACCCACAACAGTAACGTTATTTCTTCATTTGACCACTCAACCTAAATTATATGCTCGGGGATAAGCTTTCACACCCCGCCATGAATGTGCTCTGTCTCGATTGTGTATTTTCAACTATTTTGATATGTGCCGATTATGCTTTTTCGTGCACGGTTCATCTCTTGAAGACAAGCCATTGTTGTCTTGTTTTCTAGTGTCCCCTCTCCCTTCATCTGTCCGTGTCCCTGGTGGAGAACTTTTCACTTTTAGCTAGTATTATCTTAGAAATCAAATACAAGCACATGTAGTTTGGCTGGCTGGTCCCACCAGCTGCATGCCATAGCTTTGCAATGCTCTATTGGTCTCATTTCCCATAACAACATGTGTACTAGTCAACTTGAATATGATTGTTTGTATTTCAGGAAATCATCATTGAGTGCCTTCATGTACACCGGTCACCGGTCTACAGTACTTGTGCTGGGGTGGGGTGCTCACTGCTGGTGCTGCTGTCTGATGTACGTGGTGGGTGCTGCATGGTGCATGCAGGGCTGTTCGAAGGAGACCATTCCTAAAATGCAGAATGATGCTTCTCAGAAAAGCACGCGGGAAAGATGATGTGATTACATGTATATTGCCAGCCACTGAATGTCAAGAAACCGAACCAAAATAACAACATGGCAAACAGACGTCGCCACTTCAAGACTAGTAGAGGTACATGACAGGAGCTAATCCCTTACTCCCTGTGCTTTCAGACTCTCGACGGAGCACTGCATGATTATACCAAGAGTACATAACCCCCCTGGGGGGGGGGGGATATACTCTTGATTATACCAAAGAGCGATCGGCAGCATGCAGCATGACTGCCAGGGAGTCGTACCCAAACCATTTTTTAGGGGGTACGACTCCCCGATGACCGCTAGCTGTGTGATGACTTTCCTGCTCGACGTACTATCACAGCAAGTGTAAATGATGTGCTTCCGGTGCTTGGCATTGCAACAGCAAAGTTCAGCGACGGGGTGAGGACTGCACTTTCCTTACACTGAGGAAGTGAACAATGCGACATACAGACAGTGTCATCTCCATCAGCGTCAGCAGCAGCAGGAAATGATAAGACATTTTAATAATCTCCTGCAGACTAGCACGGCACATTGCACACTGGCATTGTGCATGTACTTGATACAGGGACACAGTGAAGAGGCAGACGGAAGCGACTTCATGCTTAGAAATACAGAATAATCCTAGACTACACACCGCACACTTGCCATACGGACAGCAATGGACATTTAATAGCGAGCTTTGCGGCTCAGAGTAATTACGCATGAAAATCCGTTTGCCATACTCTCCGGGAAGCGAGGGCAACTTTCATATGTAGATATCTCCATAGTATAGGAAAGCATTTTCCTATGTTCCCTATTGCTACTAGACAATACACAATCAACATGATGCCAACATTGGACCACGGGGGTTTCATTCATGGCTTGATCTGTGATAGCGTGTGGCAGGCTGAGGGAGGTCGGGGTTTACACGACTCTCCGGTACTCATTATCAATCGTGATGAACTTCAGTGAGATGTTGAAGAGCGGCGTGTGGTGATGGTCTTCTGCTGCACGGTGTACAGTGTTGCCAGGCAGGGCAGGCGACTGCAGGTCTGTTTGCACGTCGGGATGTGTCTGCTGCATTGCACATGTGCGTACGGTGCTGCCAGGCTGGGCAGGCGACTGCAGGTCTGTTTGCACGTCGGGATGTGTCTGCTGCATTGCACATGTGCGTACGGTGCTGCCAGGCTGGGCAGGCGACTGCAGGTCTGTTTGCACGTCGGGATGTGTCTGCTGCATTGTACATGTGCGTACGGTGCTGCCAGGCTGGGCAGGTGACTGCAGGTCTGTTTGTACGTCGGGATGTGTCTGCAATGTGCATGCGCACGCACTCGTGTGTTCATGACACATCACCGTAGGTAATTAGAATCACTTGGCACATGCACTGCTTGATGATCCTTGAGCCAGACTGCTGATACACGCCCGCACCTGGCTGCGCTTTTCCTGGACAATACCTGGCAGCGGAAAGTCAATCTTGTTCTTCGGTGGTATGCTCACAGCAAAGTCCCGGCGTGCTTTGTGATTCTCGGCTATATACTCGGCATACAGCATAACATAGACTCCGCAATCCGTACCTGTGGGGAACATCAATGGAGAAACAAAGGAAACAGCCTCTCAAAAGACAGTAGACAGGGAAAGAATAATGCGCTTAGTAAGTTTGCATACTGACCAGGAAAGTAAGTGTCTTGCAATTGTACGTAAGTGTAGCCAAGAGAAAAATCGGCCTCCTTTACTCTCTCAGTGTGATCTGCTTTCTCAGAGTGATCTGCTTTCGGTTGGAGCACGTGTAGTGTATACTTGGTAAACTTACAGTTCACTTGCCGTGGACTGTCAATTGGCACATGTTCAGCTTGAGGTGCACCTGTGAAAACAAAAGAAAGAGAGACCCACAGTAAATTCAATCAGTCTATGTGAAAGAAGTCAGCATCGAAACCTCCCTCACTCAGAGCAAAATACACTGTTAGAAAAGAAGCCAAACACCAAACAGAAAAGCCATCTACATGTACGTATTCCATTTCTCACAATCACCCATAGCCTTACTCTCAACTCACAGTTGATCAATCTACATGTACACAGCTTTTCCTGCAGTTGCTCGGCATACTTACAGTTGATCAATCTACACAGCTTTTCCTGCAGTTGCTTGGCATACCTGGCGTTTAATTGAAGCATGGAATCAAAGTGGAAGAATGCGTTCTGCTCTCGATGGTAGCATAGCAAAGACCAGTGTGAGCCTCCAGAGCCACTGCTGTCCGCGTTGTCGTTCACTGCCAGCAGGACGAGCTTGCGGCTTGCCAGGGCGAGTGGCTCAAGAATCACTGTCAGCTCCTCAACTGCAATCAAGACCAGGCAAAAAGCAGCAGAACCGCGTGCCATCGTGCCAATAGTTCATCACCTTGCGGGAAGGGTGAATACAGCATGACCAAGAGTACATAACACCCCAGAGTGTGCAACTCGACTATGGGTGCTGTCCCGACAGAATTTCAAGTTGACGTCATTTTTATGATGCAATGCGCACTGTACACGGATTATCAGACGAATCCAGAACCTGTGATGAACCAAAGCCTATCTGATCCTGTACAAATTATTGCAAGGAAAAACGTGTGATGCATTGGCACCCATAAACATGTTGTAAATCACTGGTGCAAGGAGCATTGCATCATAATAAAAGATGTCAACTTGAAATTCTGTTGGGACAGCAGGGTATGTGGGAGTTGCACACTCTGGGGGGCTATGTACTCTTGGAATGACGCATACTGATCAATATCTGCTACTGTTCTGGACTGCGCTACTTCATGCCTAGATTGTTGCACCGGAAGCAGTTAGAGGTTACAACACACTGTACAGCACACCTATTGTCTTTAAAGGTGTACGTTGCAGTACAGTACAGGTGGAATCCGATTCCGACATACAGTAAAACCTGTAGCTAAAGACCACCGTGACTAGCGACCAGCCTGGTACTACAGACCACTTCGCCAGGCACGGACGGTCTCACATTCATATAATTATGGTTGTGCGGTGCAAACCTCCAACTAAAGACCACCTGCCACTGAAGACCACTTTCTCTGGCCCCAAGGGGCGGTCGCTAGTCACAGGTTTTACTGTAACAGTGTCTGATAATTCAAACCTCAAACTGGGCATGTATGCCTAATAAGAAGTCCACGGACATAGGCCATATCATGGGATTCCTTCTGATAATTGGAGGGTGGCATTATGCCGCATTGCGTAGTTCAAAGTTCACTGTACACTGCATGAGATGCACAAGATCGGTGTCTACACTCTACAGTGCATATCGCAACTCCATGTAACCATAGGAGCATTTAAACATAATAATTATCAAGAGTAGATAAACAAGAGTGTGCAACTCCGCATCCCTTTTGCACAATCTGCAGATACCCCGGCCCATGTCGGATTTTTGTTGTTGACGTCACCTTTTTCAGAAAACTGTGCATTTTGCCGCAGAGCAGTGTGAGAGCACGTGCTGGGCACCGACCTTGTGATGTAAAGCCCGGCCAAGTGCACGAGGCAAAACTTCCCAAAAGACTCGCAGCGTTTGCGTCGTAGAAAAGATTACGTCCACAAAAAATTCCGCCATGGGCCAACTCATCCGGGAGTTGCATACCCTTGTTGTTTACCTACTCTTGATAATATTAGGGAGGTTTCGCTCTACGGAATTACGTATGAAAATAACGTAGGAGCTGCATATAATTTTCATACGTAAAGATCAGCGCTGTTGGGTTTCGCTCTACGTGATTTCTCCACGACTGCTAAACGTGCCTTGTTGCTTTGGAGACGCGTTGGCTGCATGCGCCCACCGCATGTACCACGAACCGAAACCGCGTTTTCCCAATCGTATTTTGCACGTGGTGTACGGTGTGTGTACCTTGTGTTTCGCGCGGTTTGAACTTTGCCATGGATAAATCCGGAAGATGCGAAAAATATTTCAAAAAGTCCTACGTAGGCCCCAACGTAGGAAATAGCTTTCCTACGGAAATCCGTAGAGAGATTTACGTATGAAAGCTGCCCTCACTCCCCGGCGTGTACGACATTCGGATTTTCATACGTAATTACGTAGAGAGAAACCTCCCTATCATAGAATGGGAAGTGGGTACCTGTTTGGGTAACTAGAATGTCCAGAAAATAGGAAAAAGTTCCGCCGGCAATTGTAGTTCATATTATCATGACTCCAGCTGCAGTGTAAATGTACCTGAGAGGAATTTGATCATCTGCGTCACATCGGGGGTGACCAGAGCTACGTCATCGCGACCTTCCAAAATCGTGTGCTCCAAGTACCTATTGAGTCAGGCAAGAACACATGAAAGTACACAAATCAGGCATATTCATACAAGGAGAGACAGGGGAAGTCAACCATTAATATTATGGACGCATGGGAGGGAGGACGGGAGGGGGAGTAGCACATATACATACAGTTGTCAGCCAAGAAATACAACCAATCACTCGGGTTTGCAGTGTGTGCAATGCGAAACGCTGATCAAGAAGCAAGATATCAAGTTGGTACATACATGTAGCTTGCTGGTGTTCACTATCTCTCTCTCTCTCCCTCTGTGTGTGTGTGTGTCTCTCTCTCTCCCTCTGTGTGTGTGTGTGTGTGTGTGTGTGTGTGTGTGTGTGTGTGTGTGTGTGTGTGTCTCTCTCTCTCTCTCTCTCTCTCTCTCTCTCTCTCTCTCTCTCTCTCTCTCTCTCTCTCTCTCTCTCTCTCTCTCTCTCTCTCTCTCTCTCTCTCTCTCTCTCTCTCTCTCTCTCTCTCCCCTGTCATCTATCCATCTCCATTATTACTACTTCAGTAGTACCCCAGTGCACTGGAGCAGCTTTCCAGACAGGGAGTCGTCAGATACTTATTTCAAAGTTATTTGACGACTCCCTGGTCAATTGCATATTGGTTGCGGAAAATACAAAAAAAACGAACTTTACACGGTAAATAACAAGTACGTACTCAAACCAGAAGGCTATCAGCTTGTCGTTGAGCCAATTGCCTTCCCCAAGGAGTGCAACATCCTCTGTTCGAAGGCAGCTATCGTAATAATTCAAAACTGTTTCACTAGACATTGTTCAGTTTGACTATTTTAAAATTTACCAAAATACTGAATTGCCAGAAAGTGCAACCCAAAAACGGCGACAAGACTTAGTATTACCAAGTGATGCAGCATAACCATGAATGGCATGATAATTGATAACACCTCATCTTTTCTCAGAGCAGTACGAGTATTCACCACAGTGAGATACTGAGGAGAGAGATTTATCAAGTGGAAGTTTCACATATTATTACTAGAGACACTACACACACGGACTCGGTAGACCATGCATGGTGGCACTGGAGTCCCTGGTAGATCTACGACTCGAGTTTGTGTGGACAAGATTTGAAAAGCTGCAAGCTAGCTGCCGCTGCAAGATCCTGCCTGCTGACGTCACCTGGCAGAACACGTTACAGTACTGATTCATCGCCTTTGTCGCCATGGTTCCATAGTCAGTTCAACCGGGATTTTCGAATGTGGATTGTCTGTCAATCAGGCAGTTCGTTGCAGCAGCTTGATTTTCAGAGAGCTTCACCTGCTGAGTTTCTTCTTCCCCGAACTCTGTCCACTCAAATGTAAATGTTTCTGAGCTTTATGTCCTTGCACTTGTCTTCTCCTGATCTACCGGTATAATCTCAACCATTCATCACCATGTCATCGGGGATTCTTTCCGCCCGTGATAATGACGAAAGTGGAAAGGTACTCTAGAAAGTTGCTTGCAACTACATGTATTGCAATAATATTTTATTGATCAATAATTCTCTCTTGCCTTGCCTTGTGTTCACCCAGCCGCAATCCTTGGCAGCTGGAGTTATATCTCGCTCCAAGCGTGCGACTATAATCACAAGTGCTCCTGACTTCACCCCACCTGGAAAGGAGAACGTGGCGTTACGCCTGGCAAAGAACAACACTGAGATGTGTGACACTGTGGTGGAAGGTCGAGGGGTGCGCGCAACACTAACAGATGTTAGTCCTCGACAGGGCAGCGATCTGTCCGATAACACGTTGGACATTGGCTTCTTGGCGGAGAACTCTACGGCGTCTTATGGTTCAGCGTCAGGTCAGTTTCTCCCATCACCCCAGACTCAGTCTGGTTAGATAATGCAAACAGTTCTGTGTGTACTTTACACGTAATTACAGTCACCTAAAAGTCTGTAGTACACTATTCCACTTGTCAGCAAGCTGCATACTCTACATCATCATCATCATGATACTGTGCTGATAACACCTTCATGGTTGATAATAAGCTAGCCGTCATAGGGTATTATCAAGAGTACATAACCCCCCAGAGTGTGCAACGCCGATCCAGCTCTGTGTAGGGTCTTGGTCGAGCGGAATCGGATCTTCTGATGTCATGCGTACACTTCACACCAGCGCAAGGCCGGTCTCGAGGCAGGGCACCATTGTTTTTGATCCAAGAGTACCCGCGACTCCCCGGGTTCCCCTCAGATGTGTACGGTATTATGACGCAAAGATCCGATTCCGCTCGACCAAGACCCTATGCAGAGCTGGATCAGGCGTTGCACACTCTGGGGGGTTATGTACTCTTGGTATTATCATGTATCATACATTTTGCGTGTAGGAGATACGGAAATATTCCCGTAGATGGAACTAACGCAATAAATAGAGTAAGCTACATACTCAGTACAAACACCATTAGCAAATCTTGTTTTCATGTAGATGGAACTGTGCACATTTATCAAGTCCCGCGTGACTGTTGCCGTAGAGATCGTGCCGTAGATCGAGCCAATCAACAATCTTGCAGAGTGTGAAGTATGTTCAATACTTCATGGGAAAACTTACCGTTCTTCAGTATTGCGAAACCGGTATATATTTTAAACTGCACTAGATTTGACCTTTGGACTTATTAAAGCATTTGTGTGATAGTGCTTTGGCGTGCTTGATAGATTTGCACTGTATTATTAATTAATTGAAGAGCAAGAAAAGTGTTACCAAACAGTATGAATGCCAAAGGAAAAAAGCAAAGAGAAAGAGAGAGAAGGAAAAAGCAATAAGGAGAGACAAATGCGTTTATGGAAATTCATAGATACGGTACGGTCCGCACAGGGACGTATGTGAGCAGGTACACTGAACCTGGGAGGCGTATACGAATACGGGGGTGCGTAAATAAACCCTACCGTACGGGAATTATGTACAAGTCAATCTGAGGTCTTGCAAACCAAATGTACAACCATGACTAATAAGAAACATGCATGACGAATATAGAAAAGGGAAATGAAAGTTGCTGATGCGATTTTTAATATGATAAGTATTAAATTCTGTTGAGAAACGAGAGGTACCAGGTTCAAGTCCTGCTTGGAAGCGGAAGGATTTTTTCCAACCGTGCTGCGACCCACAGTTAATTGGGAACTCGTGGCCTGGCATGAGTAATACATGGATGTGGCAAATGGGATTTAGGCCTTTGGCCTCTGGTTGGTGGATCTGATCTATCCTCCCCCACCGTTTAGGAGCCGCATCTGACGCCTGATCATGGGGTGGTGGCGTCCCACGGAAGCGGAAAGGTGGTTCTTGACCAGGGAGTTGTACGACTCCTTATTCTTGACCTGCCCGGTACGCGAACCCGTCGAATTTACATTTTTTTAAATTAAATTCTGTGCCCAAGGTCCGAGTCTAGAGTCGTACTGCCACAGTGCTACCGTTTGGCCTTTGTACAGTCAACTTCGCTTATAACGACACTCGGCGGGGCATCAGAAAAGTGTCGTTATACCCGAAGTCTCATTATATGTGTCACAGTTGGATGGGACTTTGCTCTGGGCATGAAAATTATGTCGTTATTCGCGAATTGTCGTTATATCCGCAGTCGTTATTAGCGAAGTTGACTGTACCGACCTTTATATAAGTACCCAGGTACATCAGGTAAACTGCCATATTTGACATAGATGGCCATATATGCATGAGAGGTCAGGTACTGTGCATGGAACAGTCACGTGGGGTACGATAACATTTAATGACATATTCCCCTTGCACGGGGACAGTATTGGCTCCAATATCTGGGAACGGCGCTGACATTGGCCTTCGCGTTGTTCTACACCGTACTGCACTTGAAAGCCGTGATCTAGTTCCCGCCTCTTACCCGGGAAGCGACATGTTGTGCAGGTCAGATCAACAGTACTTTGCTTCCAAGCCAGACATATTCAGCCCGGCAGCGACAGCGTATAGTGCTGCAACTTGCAGCTTGGTTGCACCACCAGCACAACTGGCCGCCACCATCACAATGCAAGATATGTTGTTTGGCGTATGCCCTCCGAAACCGAATCCAGAGAATCAGTGCTCGGATGATCGATGTTCAACTACATACTGTAGATGATCATTTTATCTGGGATATCATTGAACGGGTTCTGTCTGTTCACATGTTCTGCAACTCACAGACACTGATATCAGCCCCGGGCACAAGGAGCAGATAGCCTCTACCGAGAACAAACAGGTGCGCGGTTCCGCTGCTGCAGCCGATGGCGGTGCGGCCAGGGTAGACGAAGAAGACGAGGATGACGACGACTATGATGACGGTGCAAGTGGTTGTGGCGGCGGCAAGATGATATACCAGGACCACAGTACCGCGTCGCCACAGAACATCAATGTCATGACTGCGTCCACTGCGGCACTGCCTGCCGTCAGGTAAGATTTCTGCCACATGCAATGTTTGCTTATCAGCCAGGTTTCACATGGTTGGGACAGCTTTACTCTGACCCAAAGTACAAATATACAGGGCCGAAGCCCGGATTATGTGGTGTGAAGTTGCATCATCACGATTATAATTATGTGGTCCGAATTGGCTTTCCAACACTCCGAGACTGGTCCTTTCTGACTGGTGTGTAGCTTTAGATCTGAACCAGTATCACACTCTAGATGTGTATTCAGTACAGCGTACCTGTATTACTATTTGTAACGTTACATGTACTCTCCTGTTGTCCACTGTGCAGGAAATTCTGTACAGACAATGCAGAAACAGCTACTGTATCTGCTTCCGGTGAGCACTGCACGCCAACCAAGTCGACGACGGCGATGAGGGCGCTCCGGACACCTGTGAACCGACACGACAACACGCTGGACTCCATCGTGCCCACCGACATCGATGAGTCGTTTGCCGTGGGAGGCGTCGGCGACATGCCGCCTATCGGCGTGCCCTCATTCCGCAGGTACGGGCGAATTTCTCAATCATGTCGCGAGATATTGTTGATATATCCTTCATCTTTCTGTGAGAACCGGACCTATGGGACGGTGAGAAGGCAATCATGCCTGTGCAATTGGTGAAGTAAAATAAAAGTCAACAACAAAATATAAACAAAGAGTATGGGCTCTTCGTTTGAATTTTTCTGATAAGAAGACAGATAGTCAGTTGGCTTCATTGAATGACATGAATCCAAGTTGTGCGGCTACAGCTGTATCTGTACAACAACGCCATACTGCTCTCTCACAAAGTGTTGCTATGTGATGCCGACGTGTGCCCGTGTCTTTGCAGATACGCCGAGCTCCTTTCACCGACGTCGAATGATTTGTCCGCAGACAACCTTCACGCGGACATACAGCCGTACCCGGGCACCCCATCTCCGGCGAAGCGTCGCTCTCCCACCTCACGTGTGCCCGCGGACGCCACGCAGGCATCCAATAGCAGGACGTTTGACGAGAGTCACATCTATGCGCAGCCGCATCGTCCCAACTCATCCGCCTCCTTTACCAGCTGTACATCGTCGACCCCGTCAAGCTCCATCATTGAACATGTCGACGACTGTGCGCCCAGCTCTAAGAAGCTCTGCACCCCGATCGTGCAGAAAGTCAAGCAGATGACATCAATGGCCGAGTCCCCCGTCGCGCCATCTGCCGAACACAAGGCGATGATGCAGAAAATTCAGGTTGGTGTTCAAACTTCTAAGTGCAACACACACACACACACACGTAATCTAAAGGGCAGCTGGAAATGTCCTGAAGTAGGGCGCTCAGAACCGCGGGGGGGGGGGGGGGGGGGGGGGGGGGAGCCACTCTGCATGTATAATACTTTAGCTAAACCATCACTGCGGTGATACATGCTCTCTTTACATTGTCTGCAGAGAATGCATGCCCACTGAAAGCTGGGCACACGTGTTGCACAATGCCATGGCCTGCAGCTGTAACATGTTCATAGCCAAGTCAATGCAGTTTAACTTTAGTAGACCGAGAAGCACGACCTAGATATTGACATGTATTAGGACGGTAGGTAGGCAGGCAGGTAGGTAGGTAGGTACACACAGGTGACCAGGCATTTGAATGTTGTGTAGAATAGTCACAGGTTGTAACAGTCACTGGGTATGTGAACGAATCCACACACGCTTTCCTCGCTCTGCACAGCACCTACGCGCAGTAATTGATCGTGACTCGACATTGGAGAAGCAAGCACGGCAGGCATTGCAGCACTGCTTGGCTCGTGATGGCGGTTCTCAGCAGGAACTGGAGGCAGAGAGGCTGATGTTGTTAGCTGGTAAGTTGATCGTGTATGTGCTGCACGTGTGTTTCATTTGCAAGAAATTTCATTCAGCTCTTGCTCACTTCGACATGGGTCATATTGTTCTAAATTGACGTAGAGTTTCACTGTGATTCGTGAATGTGCCCATATTTCTCCCGTTCCGTTACCATCACTGATGCGCATATGCATGCACATTATTGCTTTTTTCCTCTCTTTCTCTTTTCTGCATTCAGGATTGAGGTCAAGCCGATGCACGTCGGAGATTGAGCGCCTGAGGCAGCAAGTCGCTGCTCCCGTCTCTTCTCGCAGTGGCACGGACAGTCCGTGTGATACCGAACTTGTTCTTTCAGGTGAGAGCTTGGATCGTGAAACACGGTTACATGTACAGTACTGTCGGGTAGCGCCGAAGAACGGCCAGGCTAGAATTTCATCAATCACGGCATGCCAATGCATACACGGTGACTCAACTGTGCATAGACTGTAATACATGAAAATAAGAACGGTCTAGGCTAGGAGGCTGACCCCCCTCCCCCAGTTCTTCGGCGACCAACAGTACTGTATTGCTAAAATACTAGTTGTACTTGTACATGTACCTGGACTAGATGATGATCCTGACTGAACATCACACACCAATGCAGCACTAGCTAGTTACGTAGTTATAATTATGGCGACTATTCTTACGATTGGAACTTTGTGCAGTAGAATTGGATTGTTGGATATTCCATATTCCTGCAGTGGAGATCTACTTGGATGATTGTTCGGACTGCAAGGTAGCCCCGTGTCATTTCTGAAATTGCTTGGCCTAACACATGAAGTGTTACACTGTAGTACTAGTACATTGAATGCTATCATTTCCTTATTCGTTGGAACTGCCTGGGCGAGTGTTTGAGTGAACCGTCGCGCTCTGGTGACATCATGTGATGTGTGTGTGTGTGCGTCTCTCTCTCTCTCTATCTATCTCTCTCTCTCTATCTCGCCCTCTCTCTCTCCCCCTCTCTCTCTCTCTCTCTCTCTCTCTCTCTCTCTCTCTCTCTCTCTCTCTCGCCCTCTCTCTCGCCCCCTCCCTCTCTCTCTCTCTCTCTCTCTCTCTCTCTCTCTCTCTCTCTCTCTCTCTCTCGCCCTCTCTCTCGCCCTCTCTCTCTCTCTCTCTCCCTCTCTCTCTCTCTCTCTCTCTCTCTCTCTCTCTCTCTCTCTCTCTCTCTCTCTCTCTCTCTCTCCCTCTCTCCGCTCGTCTCCATCTTGCTGCAGACATCTGTATTCCGTTGCATCTCAGCTTCTTGTCTACACTCGGCCGGGAATCAGGTTAGGTCCTGAGCAGTTGTGTGTCCATTGTGAAATACTGTACTTCGAGTACTAGAGAATGTTGGACCCACACGAGAGTTATATACCGTATTTCGCCGATTATAAGTCGCACCCCCATTTTCAGATTTGAGCCATATCTTTTCGATGTATTAAAGGGGAAGTTAAGGCAAAAATTAAAAGTTCACCAGTTGTAGTCTTCGGGGTGCTGAGTCGAATGGTCTTGGTCCGAGAAAGCTGAGACGCTCCCTTCCTACTTGAATCCCAATCGAACTCGCGCACTTCCACCGAAACTGGGTGACTGCGCCCTACTAGATGGGGATTTGTATGCAAAATGTCACTAAAAGCGCCATTTCGTTCTTATAAAAGCACGGATGACCGCGATTGGCCCATATGTTGTAGTCTTTTGGACGCTGAGTCGACTGGTTTTGGTCCGAAAAGGCTGCGATGCAGCGTTCCTCCTTTATTCCCAATCGAACATGGTTGAAGAAGCGGTCACGTGCTCCTGGGTGCCCAAATCACCTGGTCACCGCGCCAGCAGGCGACAACTTTCACACCAAGGTTCAACTCGAGTGACAGGACTGCACCCAAAAAAGGTCAAAACAGGCTGTAAGTTGTACCCTGCAGGCACGGTGACCAGGTGACTGGTGTACGCAGGAGCACGTGACCGCTTGTTCTACCATGTTCGATTGGGAATTAGGGGCGAACGCTGCATCGCAGCCTTTTCGGACCAAAACCAGTCGACTCAGCGACCAAAAGACTATAACATATGGGCCAATCGCGGTCATTCGTGCTTTTATAAGAACGAAATGGCCCTTTTAGTGACATTTTGCATACAAATCCCCATCTAGTAGGGCGCAGTCACCCAGTTTCGGTGGAAGTGCGCGAGTTCGATTGGGATTCAAGTAGGAAGGGAGCGTCTCAGCTTTCTCGGACCAAGACCATTCGACTCAGCACCCCGAAGACTACAACTGGTGAAATTTTAATTTTTGCCTTAACTTCCCCTTTAACTTCAGTAGTAAGTCATGCTCGATTGTAAGTCGCACCCCTTTTTTACCCTTGGTTTTTTTTAATGTAAAAAGGTGCTACTTGGTCCGGCTCATCGCAATTGTCGCTTATCTCCCACGCACCTTTTGACAGGTAAAACCAGTCCGATCACGATATCTAACTTACTTTTGCTTGGGAGGTTGTGATGGCAAGATCAAAGGAGGCACCAAAGAAAAATGATCGTGACTAGCACTTTGAATCGCGATGTGTTCGACTTTTTTGGGAAGTGGGAATCTGGCCATTCACTGTCTGTGTTGCCAAAAGCCAAGCGCAGCGACCCGAAGACCGGAACTGTGGTAGGGGCAACTGACATCCTGGAGAGCGTGACAGGCACGCGTGCACGGCAGAGGAGTACGAGCCGCATGAGCGTCATGCTGAAGAAGAAAGGTGTTTTTGATGCGATGCGCCCGGCCGACGGTTGTTGTTCCTTGCTTGGTGGACCTAGCAGCAGTGTTACAAGAGTCGTGGTCAGCGTATCCAGCGGAGCGTATGACACCTGTCTGGAGAGGCCTGTATGCCTCGAAGGCTTTGTTGAAACACACTGTGGCGACACACAGGTCACACTGCCCACGGTTCCTTCAAGCACCGAAGTGACAGTCACAGCTGTTCCTTTCCCATTGCTGCCATACGACGGCCTGAGTGAGAAAGCAAGAGATACTCCGTCTACGCCAGCAGCTAGACACCAGAAAATGTCAGCTCATGTAAGACGCGGCAGCTCGAGTGATGCAGAGTTGAATGAACTCTGGACCTGTAAGAGTGTGAGTGCAAGAACGCGCTCCTTCGCGGATTTATTTCGTGCATTTTGCTTACTTTGCTTCCTTTCTTCGACTCGCTTCACCTGATTCCATTGCTGAAATTTTTTTCTTGTGGCGGAGAGTATTCTTGTATCATGCTTCCTCACTATGCCTACTGGAAATTTCACAGAGCGGTAAAAAACTCCTCTTCTTAGTGGTGATAGATAAGCGACAATTGCGATGAGCCGGACCAAGTACTTATAATCGGGGAAATACGGCAATGGGCTATGACAGCGGTTTAGCGTGGTCTTCACTAACCACTTCTTGAAGGTGTCAACTCTCAAGTGCAAAGCAAATGTACCGCAAACGTTTTTCGTGCCTGGTGGTCATCACAGTACGGAAAGACTGCGAACCAACGGGCTTGATACAGCCTCTGTTATGGGCAGACGGAAAGACTGAGCTCTGAGGCCAAACTACCTGGATTTGGATGCACCACAGTTGAGTAATCACTAAGGGGTCGTCCACAAATATCAATATTTTTTTAGGGAAGATATTGGTTCGGTTTTTTTTTGGGGGGGGGGGGGTCTCTGTTTGTCTCACCTTTAGATGTGGACGGGCACTGTACAAACATGTAGTTGATGACCGACGAAAAGCGAAAGTTAGCCTCATGAAGGCCACGGCAAAGTTTTACGACCGTAGCCATGGACACCTGGATGTACAGTATGGTGAATTTGGAGTCGCTGTTGGTCGCGTTTCATGAGGAGATTGCCCTTCATTAAATAATATCGGTCCTTGCATAAACGTGTGTATGTTCGTTTTGAGGAAGGGGGGGGGGGGGGGGGAGTGAGGGGTCTGGGGAGAAATGAACAATATCGTCTTGAAAAAAATATCGGTATTTTCAGATGGCCCCTCAATATGTAGAAATACGGGTTTTTTTAAAGTATGCATGCCATACCAAGTCCAGTGGTTCTGCTACTTGCAGGCCGTGTTGCAGTTGTCACCATTGCGAGAGACGAAGGTGTGTTGCTAGACGGCGCAGGCAGCAATTCTGTTGCTGCGGGTTGGTTAGATACTGCAAGTTTAACAAGGTGACATACAAGTATTGCTGAGCCAAGATAATGTCGTTGTGGGCATAACATATGAGAGAAGGCCAGGAAACCGAAAGCCAATTCACAATAATCTATTTCGAATTTGGAAGAAGTACGTATGCCACCAGCAGCACTACATACGATGCATGAAGGAGTATTACCTTATTTCTCACTATTGGCTCTGGAGTAGTTTCCTGCGTTCCTCATCTCCCGACACACCTGCTCTACATCTGAGCTGCTTCTACACAGACGGTCTCCCACGCTTTGCTCGCTGTTCTTCCGGCTCCGGATCTGGAACTACACAAGTAGACTGGGCAGCTTCGGAGAGCCTCTGCTTCAGACGAAACTGCTCTGCCAAGGTGTGTGAAGAAGCTGCATGAACATCAAAGATAACAAAATGTAGGGTTACCGTACAATGCCCACAACGAGGCAGTGTTAAAATGGGATTCTGAGACATTACCGACATTCTGACATATGGCAAGTGCCCTGCAGGTCACACAGTCACTACTTACTGCTTTGTAAGATCAGACCAAATGAGTCCGCTGGGAGGCTCTTGGCAGAGTTGGTGGACAAGGTCTCCAGGCTGCCATGAAGGTCGTCCGAATGCTTGGCATTCGTGGCAAGATAGATCTGCCCTTCCAACAACGTCAGCATATTGCACGCTTGTTTTGCCGCATGCTGAATGCCCTGGTGCAGTCTGCACCTAACGAGAGAACAACACGGCTGGTTCATCACAACTTTGAGCCCCAATGTTATTGTTTAGGTGGTATCAATAATACTGATAACTGACAAACAATTGTCTTTTTGGAAATCAAAGAGCCCAGTGGAATGCGTCACATATCTGGTGAAAGGGAATGTCACCGCACACCAATGGTGCCTGCTTGCTTGCCTCCCAGCATCGCTTGAAACAGCCGGGCTTTCATTGGTTGTATGTTGCTTTGGAGCACTGCGGGCGAACCCCAAGTCCAGGCAAAGTTGAGGCGAGGCGACTCCAGATACTTTGCGGGGAGCGATTCCCAGCTGTGCTCCGTGATGAGGCTGAAGATGGCAAACATGTGCTTGCATGTGAGGCCATGTTGATGCCAGTCTTCGCAACTGCAACATGGCTTCATGGCAACTTCAGATACTTTGCGGGGAGCGATTCCCAGCTGTGCTCCGTGATGAGGCTGAAGATGGCAAACATGTGCTTGCATGTGAGGCCATGCTGATGCCAGTCTTCGCAACTGCAACATGGCTTCATGGCAACTTCAGATACTTTGCGGGGAGCGATTCCCAGCTGTGCTCCGTGATGAGGCTGAAGATGGCAAACATGTGCCTGCATGTGAGGCCATGCTGATGCCAGTCTTCGCAACTGCAACATGGCTTCATGGCAACTTCAGATACTTTGCGGGGAGTGATTCCCAGCTTTGCTCCGTGATGAGGCTGAAGATGGCAAACATGTGCTTGCATGTGAGGCCATGTTGATGCCAGTCTTCGCAACTGCAACATGGCTTCATGGCAACTTCAGATACTTTGCGGGGAGCGATTCCCAGCTTTGCTCCGTGATGAGGCTGAAGATGGCAAACATGTACAGTGCTTGCATGTGAGGCCATGCTGATGCCAGTCTTCGCAACTGCAACATGGCTTCATGGCAACTTTCGATACTTTGCGGGGAGCGATTCCCAGCTGTGCTCCGTGATGAGGCGGAAGATGGCAAACATGTACATTGCTTGCATGTGAGGCCATGTTGATGCCAGTCTTCGCAACTGCAACATGGCACTCCCAGGCGAACAACATGTTTGCTAGTTGCCGGCTGCACAGTGATCTGTTCTCCTCCAGTCTTAAAACACACAATGTTCATAAGTTTGAGAGAGTTGAAACGGGAAAAGTCTGAACACACACACACACACACACACACACACACACACACACACACACACACACACACACACACACACAAATGGGTTACAGTGAAATTATCCATAACAGCAAGAGTAGATAAAGCAGAGTGTGCAACTCACGATGGTTCCTGTGGGAGCGTAATCCGTGCAGTACGTCATTTCTGACGGCATGGTAAGTCACGTGTACGTTGAAAAGTTGCATAACCAGTCGCGGTGGTGCAGGTCACTGAGTTTGTGCTGATTTTGGGTTTTTTGATACGGACAGCCGGGTGAATTTACTTGACAGCGGATGTACTGGGCGTATGCAGTCACACCAAAACACCGAAATTCCAAAACAAGAAGTCTAAAATCATGCAAACTTGGCTGATTTCCGGGCTGTGCAACACAAAAATTCAAGGTGTACGCAAGTCGCGGCTTCGCTGACCTCATCAGGGTGCCGTAGTGCGCGAACTGCGCTGTTTCAGATCTGATATGCACAGTTGCACACTCTGGTTTATGTACTCTTGATAACGGGCATTATCCATAAAAGCCATTTGTCTGACTTCAATGACTTTTGAGAAAAGCAGGTCCCTGTGCAAGCTGATGGGAGATAACACTGACTTAAATTTTAAGAAACAGCAATCCAATATTTTTCATTATGGATTGTCCACGAATAATTTTTTTAGAGAAGATAATTGTTTTTTTGGGGGGGGGGGAGGGGGTTGGTCTCTACTCGCCTCATCGTTGTGAAAAAATATCGATCCCCAGATTTGGACCGGCACTGTGTAAACATGTTCATGTAGTTAGTGACCTGCAAAACGTGAAAGTCAGCCTCGTGGATATAGCCATGGCAAGGTTGTGCGACCGTGGCAATGAAGACCAACGTGTGCGGCGAATGTGGGCTTGATCTTGGTCACGTTTCACGAGGAGTTAAAAAATGCTGATCCCTGCATAAACGTATGTTCGTTTTGAGGGGGGGGGGGGGAGAAATGAACGAATATCGTCTTGAAAAAATATGGACATTTACGGATGGCCCCTAATCAGGAATCAAACATCTGATCTGGGCACCTGTTCCCCACCAGGCCTACTGTTGGCACGTGGGCACCTGTGTTTGAGCTCAGCAGCTGTGTTTCCACTGTTGCTTGTCTGCAGTTGCGTACTTTCTCGTCGTTGCTCGGGCCGGTTGTGATGTGATCGCCACCACTCATGTTCAATCGTCACTGGAAATCTCTGGTCTCAGTGGCGAGCTCAAGTTCAAGGATCAATTAACGCTGTAAGTCAGATTATGGTGTGTGTGTGTGGAGAGGGGGGGGGGGGGGGGGGGGGTGCTTGTTTCTGGCCCGATGCCGTTACGTGTAATCCAGTACTCGTGCTTTTCAATCTCTCTCTCTCTCTATCGCTCTTCCTTCCAAGGGAACGTGTGTGTGCGTGCGTGTGTGTGTGTGTGCGTGTGTGTGTGTGCGATTGCCGACAAGCGCGCATGTGTTCCTGGATGTGACTGTGTTCTTGTGTGCTGTGCTTGTCTTGTTCCTTGTGCAAGGTCATCTGTTCCCAATGGTGTGCAGGTTGACATTGAACTCTACTATATGGTATGTCCTAACAGTGGCCGGGTACTTACTGTAAAAGCCATTATTCTAACGGGGCGCATATACAGGTAGACTCCCTTTAATTCGAACCTCAAATTGCCAGGCCCTAACTTCGAATTATCCAGAACTTCTAATTATCCAAATGCAGCCCCATGCACTGATATGTATATCAAAATGCTTGAAATCGCATGCTGAATATTTTTTGCACATTTTTATTTGCATCAACGAAACATAGGTGGTCGTACCGGTCATGTACAACGGATCATCAAAACACTGGATCGACACAAAATCATTTTGACATTATCTTCATCTTCTAGTGAAGAAGTTGTCAGTCACTGCAGCTTTCCTGAAACAATTTCAACGGAAAAGAACTGCGCTGCCTAATCCGCGTCATGAAAGGCCGTCGAACAGCAGCACGCCGTTCTGAAGAACGGAAATGGAGCATAGGCATCGACAATATTTACGACAATAGTGTTGTTGTTCGCCAACATCCCCGCGCACGACCTGGCGCGGCAAGAAAGGCCATCGAGATTCGCGAAGAGAGTCAGCCACCTGGAAGAAGTCGTCTTCAATCAAACATTTGCAATTTGCCTAGCACGGGTGTAGCGACCTCGCTGCATGACGTCAGCTCCCTCACCAGATATACGCATGCGCATGACACATTTCTTCCTCTTTGCTCTAAAATAAACAACAACAACTAGACAAAGTTGCCCTCTCCTCGGAGTTGTAATTTATTAGGCCCCAGGGTGGTATGTCCCGGGATTCATCTGTCTCCCCCGTGAACAGATACGACCTCTGCCATCTTGGGTGCCTAAATTGGTGACCCCCGACGCTGCGCTCGCGGAGCATTCTAGTATTTTAACTTTCCGGATTTGGGAATTTGTGGTGCCTCTCGCCGCCCACCCGCCCTCGGCACACCTGGAGCTGCTGCGGACTACGCCCTCCTGGCTCCCACCGCCGCCATCCGTCGTCATGCTGCTTCCGCCCGTCAGCCTGCCAGCCATCACTGGTTTTCGCCGCAGTGACTGAGTCCGTTCCTGCGTGCACCGCATTCTGGCTGCCTGTCAATCACCGGCTGTTGACATTAAACTTCAGCCTCAACATCCGCACCTCACCGCCTGGACTTGGAGCAGCTGTGGAGCAACCACCCTCCAACCACCGTCCAGTGTGCGCCGGCCACAAGCTGGAGCTTGGCCCCCTCCCACCCGCAAAGCCTCCCCAGTCGTGGAGCCAGCACTGCTGCTACTACTACAAAATTGTATTGCTGTCATGTTCCGTACCTGGATTGGCTGCCGACTACCCAGTCGCCGCCTCGCCACAATGCTATACGCGGCTACATGGGCTGTTCATCGGCAAGTTTCCCCGCAACTGATTACTGCGCGTCTTTGCCTCTGCCTTCACAGTTTGCATACAGTTTTTTCTCTCTCTTTCTGCCTCTGACATGCTCTCCACCTCTGTCACGTTAATCCACCTCTGACATGTTAACCCGCCTCTGTCACGCATCTCTTTTCGCTTCCTGCATTTTTCCCTCTGTTTCGGCCTTTGTTGCTTCGTTAACAAACATTGGGTACGCCACATGCAGCGCTCTTTCTATTTCCTTGTTTTTTTCTCTGTCGTTCTCTGCGCTCCGCTTGTTCTCTGGTGGGGGAGTACTGTAGCGACCTCGCTGCATGACGTCAGCTCCCTCACCAGATATACGCATGCGCATGACACATTTCTTCCTCTTTGCTCTAAAATAAACAACAACAACTAGACAAAGTTGCCCTCTCCTCGGAGTTGTAATTTATTAGGCCCCAGGGTGGTATGTCCCGGGATTCATCTGTCTCCCCCGTGAACAGATACGACCTCTGCCATCCTGGGTGCCTAAACGGGCTTGAATCAAATTTAGAGAGAAGTAGGGTTTCTTGAACGCTATAGTCGATCCTGCAGCGGACCATCAATCGATTTTTGAGCTACTCTTGGCTAGAGAAAGAGAAAAGAATGAACTTCGAATTACAAGGATAGCAACTCAATCTCACTTCGAAATAAGCGTTCAAAGGACATAGCCAATGTACTGTAAACAGCTCTTCTGTACGAAGACTGGGTTCGAATTATCCAACCGGCGCACATTTCGTACTTAGAATTATGCATTCGATTTTGACTTGAAGTGACTTGCAGAAGATCGGTACGACGAAAAAGTTCGAATTACACGGAATGTTCGAATTAAACCGTATTCGAATTAGAGGGAGTCCACCTGTATAACGATTCCTAAAATTGACTGGTTTATGTGTACCAAAGGTTCTCACTCATTCTCAACGCTCAATAGCAACAGCATTGTATCGATTTCTGTATAACGATTTCTATTTTAACGACAGATTTCTCCTCGTTAACTCGTTAGAATTAGCACTTCGTTATAAATATGGCTTTTACAGACTCAGCACTCAATTCCCCTGCGAAAGATTTTTCAGTACTACCAACTTCGTGATTAACTTAGTGTATAACAACACTCACGAACAACAACACTATCTTGAGACCTAGTAACCAACCGCCTACCAATTTACAGGAAATTGATATTAATCTTGGGCTTGTATGGGACTTGAATCCAGACTCTCTGGCAACGATGAGAGAGTTGCATTCCTAGAGTAACAAGGACAGATCTGCATCATAGTGCTCGCTGCTTACATGTAGCTGAGCTGTGTGGCTTCTGTCATTTTCTGCTACTCCCAGGTTCAAAGTCGGAAAGGCAGTTCAGGCGACAACGACACAGCTCCACTAACACCGCGGAAGCGCAGGATCTTGGTCAGTTGTAGCACTCTTCAAGGGTTCATTTCCTCTGCTTGGCAGGTCATGTGAAGCTGTGATGTGCTCGGTTTGTGCGTGTCTCATGCTCCCCCGTGAAACCTGGTCGGATCCACTCCTGCGCATTCTGATTCTTTCCAAATTCACCCAGTCTTTTCTGATGCATTCTGATCGATGCAAAGAATCAAAATGCATTGCATGATTAATTTTCCAATGAGTGGTGTTCTGAAGGGGGTTTGTTTTCTGGTATTTTGTCTGCAGGGTCAGCATGGTGCCCTGTCCAAGCTCACGCCGAAAAAGCAACGGTCCAGCACATTATCTATGCCAGGTACACTGCACCACTCTCTGACTCTCTGACTGTTCTTGTGGCTGCTTCCTGTTGTCTATCATGATAGTGATGATGATCAATTGATCATAGACATGCTTGGGTGGTGGGCAGCGGGGTAGTGATCAGACAGCTGTAACTTACGTGAAACCAAGTGGGTGTGCTTGCTTGTATGTGTGTGTGTGTGTGTCTAACATAGCTGTTCGCTATCATCGCTTCCGCGATGGGCATGTCTGAATCTGTGTGTGTGTGAGTGTGTGCACACAACTATATCTATTTAGCATGGCAGTGTACATGTGAGAGAAAGGTCCAATTGGAATCTGCTCTGACTGAAAGCATGGTAGCAGGGTAGTACACGCGCTCAAGAAACTGTAGTATACCTCAACAAGCAACTCCAGTCATCTTTCGCATTGCTATTTTAGTGTTGAAAACTGGAAAGTAGCTCAGCTGTTACTGTCGTGGATTGTGTTGTTGCCAGGTGGAGCTGCGTTGATGACGAGGTTCACCTTGGGCGCATCCTGCCAACTGTCTGTAAACTCTCTGCAGACATACAACAGTTTTAAGATGCAGGAGGTGAGTGCTGCCGGTGGTCGCTTGATGCATCAACATGTGTGTGTGTGTATGGGGGGAGTGCTTGTGTGTGGGTGTGCCTGTGTGTGCGAGTGTATGTGTGGGTACGAGTGGGTGTGCTTGTGGGTGGGGTGAGGTGTAGACTAGGCTTTTAAATGCAGGTGGAATCCTGATTAACCCTTTATGTACTGAAAAAATTGTACACAGACTGAATTTGATCTTGACTCACCTCAAATTCTATAACTATCTGGGTCGTAACTTTAGTCTCCTTTTGACGATTTTTTCAATCTTGGGCTTCCTGGAAAGCTCGTCGCAAGAGGAACACATTGAGCCCACGCTTGCCACCACGAAGGTCAAAACGCCAGCGCTACAGCCCAGCGTCTTAGCTGCAACGCCAATATTTCGACAGAAGTCGTCTTGCATCAGCCATTTCGCTCTCCTTGCTCGTAACAACTAACTGTTACTTCAAAAAAATTCACAAACTGCCATGAGTCCGTTTACCATTTTGAACGTGTTTCTACGTCACTGCATGCCAAGAATGATGGGGAAATCCCTCATTCAAATTTGCGCGAGCGGCTATTGAGCGACATTTGCCGCAATTCGACTTTCGAGCTTTGTAACTCTGGAACCACACATCGGAGCGCTTCAGCGATTATTTCACTGGACAGCTGGGAGTTTTCTCTTTGACCTACATATTTTAGTTTTCGGATATAACCCAGGAACGACTGAGTTACGATCGATTGAAAATTTGAAAAGTTTCGATCCCAAGGGATCGAAAGTTGTACAGTCCGTACACAAAGGGTTAATTGCCAGGGGAAAACTTCTGATTATCCAAAAATGTACATACCCGCACCACAACTCTCGACGCATGGCTCTGAGCAAAGGTTATTGAACTGAAGGCAGTACGAGGTGTGTGGGGACAAGCAAAGGTTATTGAACTGGAGGCAGTACGAGTTGTGTGTGGACAAGCAAAAGTTATTGAACTGAAGGCAGTACCAGTTGTGTGGGGGACTCGAGTCTTGTCTATGCCAAAGGCTAGGTGTGTACAAAGTCTACAGATGTGTAAGTGTACGTGTATTTGCTTTTTTCTATGGCAATCTACTGCTTGGCCTTTCCAAATACAAGAAACCAACCTTTTTCTTTTGGAACCTCTTATTTGTTTCTTGCCGTGCCCCCCCCCCCCCCCCCCCTCACGCAGTGGAGCAGTCATCAGCTGTTGCACGGCAGTGTGGATGTGCGCATTGCTGGACGTCCGCTCTATTCTCAGCACTACCACTCTGCGTTCCTCGTAAGTGCTTCTTCTGCTTCTGCTGCTGCTGGTGCCCTGTCTTTCCCTCTCTATCCTGCTCCCTCTCTTCATGATCGTGTTTAGTGTGACCTGTAAGCATGCTGTGAATAGTGATGGATGACATAATGTGCCTTGCACACGAGTGTGCTCGGGTTAATAATTGTCGTCTGTTGGTGGAACGTATTGATCTCGGTTTCCTTGAGCATATTCCAGGTGAGGATCATTCCTTGATTTAGCATTCTGTGTGCTTTCCTTCTTGCACTGTGTTGCATCGTAGACGTGGCGCGAGGAAATCAGTGGCCAGCCAAACTGGCGCCGTTTCTGGTGCTTCCTGGATGGTGTCGTACTAAAGGCCTGGCAGTACCCAGCAGATCAAGAAGCTGAGGCGGTATGTAACTGCTAAGTTATATTAGCTCTCTTGTTATTGCAACAGATTACTTCTAGAACTCGCTGCTGCACTTTACATGTGCCAACAACACCCATTGGCCAGAACTGGTTTTTTTGCTGTTTAATAGTAGTAGAAGGCTGCGTACGGTGCCAGAGCCAACCAGGTGGAGAGAGCATCATTCACCCCACTGGTGTTTTCGACCTCGGGTGTGGCGGGCAAGGAAACCACTATATTCCTGAAGTCGCTAGCTGCTTTGGTTGTAGACAAAAACAAAGACCTGGTATATTCTGCAGTGATGGGGGAGTTACGCACCCGGGTTTCTTTTTCCTGCTGCGATGGGCAGTCACATGCTTTAGGGGCTGCAGGGCGTCTTACCTTTGCCGCAATGTCGGGAGCCCCTTTGCAGCATATTGCTGCCGGCTGTGCTGACACGGGCAGAGGCGTGACTTCGCCTTCGCATGCCGGTCGGCAATTTGATCAGGTAACGATTTCTTGTCAAGCTTTTGTGTTAAATCTTACATTTCCATTGAATTGGGTGTTCTATCTATTTCCGAATTTGGGTTGTCCTTTTGCTTTGGTTCACTTCCTGTTCCATTTCACACACACACACACACACACACACACACACACACACACACACACACACACACACACACACACACATGCGTGGTACAGGAACCTATCCAGACGTTGGATCTGGCCACGTTGCACGAAGGTGACTGCACTCTTACGGCTGCTGCGCCCAACTCACTGGTCTGCATTCGCAAGAACTCCATCGCCATCAATGTGGAAGGCACTACCACAGAGAACGAGCGGTAAGCCACTGTTTTAGTTGACTATGGGAGTGGGCACTGACGAGAGAGAAGAAACAGTTCTGACTTGACAAATTTTTGATCAGTCGTGAGCACTCACATGATGCATCCATGTCTTGTATTGTTGTATTACTTACCGTATCACTTCACTATCACAAAATATCATTGTTCAGTATTGCTTCATTGTGCTTGTTGTCCGTTGCAGGTTTCTTTTCTTTGCCGATTCTAAAGAGAACCAAGCCCTGTGGATTGCAGCATTCCAGCAGGCATGTCTCAATCTCGCAACGTGGAAGACTCTCCCGCGCTGAAGCTAAGTGCCCGTCCCGTTACTGCATTTGTTCCTCAGGACCCAGGTCGGTGTTCTGAGTGCATTCTGAGCACCTCACTTTACCACCTTGGTTCGCAACCCATCATGCCAATCGTTTTATATCTCTTGTTCTGCATCTTTTAGTACTGGATGTGACTTCTCCAGTGTTCAGCACAGCAACGTATCGTGACCTTAGCTTAGGGATTTAGCACGAGTAGTAGTATTTAGACCAGTGCCGCACACCATGCGTTGTGCATGTTCCCTGACCCCGTGGCAGCATGGCATTGCTGCTCTCCCTAACCAGTTGATAGTGCCGCTAACATACGCAGCGCAGGCAGCCGTTACGAGAAGTTCCCACTGGACCTGCCCGCTATCGGGTGGCACCGTACAACATGCTGTGCTAGACTTTGTGTCCGTCCGCAGGACTTCTGCCGTGAGATTCTCATGGCTATATGTTGGCATCATTTCATGGCTTAGTACATGATTTTCTCGTCCTTTACACCCGCGATCACAACCGTATCACACAGATGTAGCATCTTTGCATTACATCCTAACCTGCGTTTGTTCCTAACCTGCGTTTGTTTCACCTCGGTAACGTACATGTATCTCACACGTCGCTCCCCAGCTACTCTACTTTACTCTACTTTACTCTACTTTAGATGTTTTAGTGTGATCCGCTCCGTTCTGCTTTAACCTCCACTGCCTATCGTTTCTCACTTGTGTACTTTGTTTCTGTCAGTTTGTGTACCTGGATGTGGTTGTCCTGGAGTATTGCACAGCACTTCTGGAGTACAGTCCAGCCGTGAATAACGACCTCGGGTGTAACACCAAGTCGAGATAATAATATCTTCAGACCTACAGTATTGGCCGCTTGGTAGTCAAGTCAACTTCGTGAATGACGACCTCAAGTAACACCAAAACTGACCAAATCGAGATTATTAACGACACACTCTTCAGACCTATTGACATTGTGATAGTCAATCTCACGAATAACGATAAGTCGCAAAATATATTTTAAATACTTCGAAGAAACAGCACTTTTCTCGTGCCCAATCGTCAATCGAGGATTGTTATTCGCAAGGTTGATCACAGCCGGCGTGTAGGCTGCCTTGCTCATGGCATACTTATAAGTTATAATAATATATGTTATGCCAATGCCGGCGGAGTTTCTAATGGGCGCTATGTCTGCAGTGTGAGTCGCAAGTGCAGCGCTATCACCTATGCATGCTGCGAGGCCGTGCTTCGTCAAAGCATGTCAACTGATGATGTTATCGCATAACCCAGGAACCAGTCAATTTTGTTGCCAAACAGTGCACAACTGCTTCATGCATGTGATAGCCAGGAATCAATGTCAGTTTTCACTGTGTACCCACGTTATGCCCTGGCCTGTACAGTGTGGCCTATTGCCACCTCAGCAAGCTATACATTGAAACCTGTCTAGGACGACCGCTGAAGGGACCTTCAAAACCTGGTCTCTGTTACCAGATGGTCTCCTTATCCAGGGTCATTTGACTGGAAATAGCATTCCTTGGCGCTGGTTTTAGTGGTCTTCTAGGGCAGGTGGTCACCTTGGCAGGTTTTACTGTATATTAAATAGTACACGATTCTGTTGCTTGCTACTGACTAGACTGTCGATGGCTGCAGCCCAGCCCTTCATCTTGCCTATACAGACTCAGTCAGTCAGTAGGTTTCTTACAGCAGTTACCAAGTACTAACTCTGCACTGAGTGTGCAGCCAAGAGTGCTTGCACTGAGTAAGTGACTGACAGAGTTACTCGAGATTCTCGTTCTGGTAAAGTGCAGAATGATTCCGTTGAATTTTCTGCGCTTCGCCATTGCCTCCTTGAATCTAGCCTTTTATGGGTACTATTATACCGTATATTCTCTATTATAAGCACATGTCTCCATTACTAGCACAGTCTCGAATACTAGCACACTGTAAGCACCTTTCGAAACATTATAAGCACAGTCTCTATTATTAGCACGGTCTTGGTGGAAATCAATGCTGCATGCATGATATCTAGCATGTATTTCTTCTTGATCTGTATGGATGCATTGGTTGAAAAAAATATAAGCACGGTCTCCAATATAAGCGCGGTCTCCATTATAAGCGCGGGGTAGAGGGGTGTTGAAAAAATATAAGCACAGCGCTTATAATAGAGAATATACGGTAAGACCATTAAATGGTCTTATAATCCTGAGGCAAGGTTATACCTTACAACTTATAAGTCTACAGCAGTACTAAAAAGAAACTACAGTTGAACATCGATTATCCGACCACCTCTGGGCAGACAACTGTCAGGCGGTGTTCAGATAAGGCAAATGTTCCGGATAAAAAACATGTACATGTACGACCTTTTTACTTTTCAAAATTTTCGTATTTTTTGAATGGCTCACTACATGCACAGTGCGTACTCTACGGCACGTGCGCCCAAAAAAACTGTTACGGATAGTCGATGTGCGGATAATCGATGTTCAACTGTATAACAAAAAGGAAACTGCAAAGAAAGTGTGGAGTGCACGTAAATTGTAGGACCATCATTCAGTGCAAGGACAATTGGGGCGCGTTTGGTTGGTACGAACTAGAACAGGATTCACCAGAACAGCGCGTTTGGTTGGGACTGCACCTGTTCTGGGTCGGCCAGAACATGTTCTGCTTGCTCCGGCCTCGAGGCCGGAGCAGACCGAGCAGTTTCACTTTTTCACAGTGAAACCTGGCGGGAACATCGATTTTGTTCCCAAATGATCACGTGCATACGCTTTTGGGTTGGACTCGTCGTACCGTATAAAGTGACCATGGTGATCCATACACATTTTGAAGAATGCACCAAGTTCGGCACATTTTTCCACAAAAATGTGCTCTGTTTCTGGAGTAGCGTTTGGTTGGCATGAGGCTGCTCCATGTGCACCAGCTGTTCGATCCTGTTCTAGATCGTACCAACCAAACGCACCCTAATTATAATAGTCATGGCACAGGAATTAGTTCACTGGCTGACCACCTTTCAGTACAGTTCATTTAGAATACAAAAAGGTGTGTAGTTCAGTACAGTTCATTTAGAATACAAGGCGTGTAGGCTTTACGTGTACACAGACCCAAATGAAGCTATGCTCCCAACTAGCTGGTGCGTGTCGAGGGAAGCTCTAATACGAGGAACAAGCGCAGCAGCTTTAGCAGGCTGAACTCTCCAGCCAAGATTTGAGAGAGGCTTCTTTACTGGAGATGGACTATCAATCATACTCTGTGCTGAATTGCTGAGCCCGTCAAACCGATTTCCCACAATTCGCCTCATCATCAAGCATTGTGTGTTACTACCATTGGCAGCATTGTACTCTGTGAACTCTGATGCGAATGTAAGCCCCTCACGGAGTGCCTCCAACTGGTTATGCCTGGACTCTAGTGACTTGCTCCTCTTGATGTAGAGACTGTCAACATCAGCTCGGAGCTCTTCTAAACGCTTGTCAAGGGCCTTCCTTGCCTCTTCACCAGCTTTGTCAATGGCAGAACTAGCCGAGTGAAAATCGGCCGTTAGGCCGTCTTGATGCTTTTGGACATCAGTCAAAGCGGTCTCGACTTTCTCTGCCCATTGTTTCGCTTTTAGAAGCTGCTTATCTAATTCCGTGTTGCAAGGGACCTGTGATATAAAGGACACATTATGTGCGGAATGCTTCAACGATGAACAGTCGTGGCATATGCACAGTCTGCATGTCGTACAGTACAGCTGGATTTCTTTGCCCGGGTGAATTGCACAGGTTGGTTGTCTTCTTACCGAGGCCAAATCCGGCTGGCAAGATCTGTTTGGTCCTTCTGCTGCCAAGTGGCGTACTTTGGTCCGTCGGAGTTTCGCGATAGGTTGCATACTGTGGCCCCGTGTCAGCTTGCCTTTGGAATGCCCGGCATGATGCACATCACACAGGAATAGTCCACAGTCGGCACACAAGTGACTAGCCGGCTCATCAGCTTCCTCGCCACAGTCGTCACACACCGGCTGTTTGCTTGTGTCCAGCAGCCGCTTTAACGTCACACGGTCGGCCGCAAAAACATCTAGAGGCAGTCTGTCGGCGTCCACCTCACTCACATATTGACATGTGCGGCAGCATACACGTCCATCCTTATCCATAACCTCAGCTAGGCACCCCATGCAGATCGAGTGCAGACAGGACAAGAGTGGGGCACAAGCCAACTCACAACTGCACAAGCAGCAGTGAAAACGAGTTCCCCGAGTCACTCTTGGCCCACTGCGCGACACCATTGCAGCAGCAGCAGCAGCAGCAGCAGCAGCAGCAGCAGCAGCAGTAGCCGCCATGTTGCGAGTGCGAGGGTAGATAGCTATCACTGCGGAAAACGCTGACTGTGCGATCGTACATGTAGTGCAAATGCAATCCTCAACTGCGGCGCGGCTGCCACTGTGGTGATACAACCCGTGCTGTAGAGTCTACTGCCACCGGCCGTAGATCAGGTAGATAGTGAGTAGCGCGCTGGGCGTGGGAACTGCTCACTCGTCGATCGATTTTTTCGAAGTTTTCCAGCTCCAAGACTTCGTTCTCCTCGGATGTGCAACGTTACTATGTACTGCTTACGTGTGTTGCAATCCGAGAGAGAGATTACTAGTCGATCTACACTACAGTCACTAGTCAGTGCACTCTTCTCGTAGACCTACTGACTGAGACAAGCGACATGCGTAGCACTAGCAGCTCCACACCACACCGTAGCAGCGATGGCTAGGGGGATCCCGGGAGGGTGCTGGATCCTCTAGCCTAGTATGTTTGCCATGCCTAGCGCCTGAAAATATCGGTAAGTGCAGCAACTGCAGAGCAGAGTCTTTACCTGACCCCTGAGCCCTGAGGTGAAATCAACTGAAACACCATGAACACAGACTCGTTATTATCATGATAGTGGACTCGACTGTGGTTCGGAGCAGAAAAATAGGCCACACGCAAGAAACCTTGCTCCTCCACTTGGACCAACATTTACTTGGACTGGATCATGGAGCTTCTGCTCAGCAAATCCGCATTATCGACAACAACAGCTAGCTGCATGGCATATGGTGCGACATAATAATAATAATAATTTTTATTTTTATTCATGATCCACCTGTCTACATCATACATAACTATTACAATAGACACACAGTACCGGTAGTACACCATGGTAGATTCTTACACTACAATTTACACAGAAGTTAGTACAATCATCATGAATTGATTGTAGGAACTCAAGCGAGTCAAGGTCTGCACGGTTCTGCCACTCTCTGGACCACAGAGAAACGGCGGAAAGACTTTCGTTGACTGACGACTGACGTGAGTATCTTTTTCTGTAGTACAGTCATCATGGTCATGTACTTCGAAGTAGATCTACAATGACTATGTACTACTGTAAGACATGTTATTATAACGAGTATGTAGTTGAAGACACCACTGCAGCTGTACTTATGGTTGATAAATATGGTGGTAAAGACACACCTGGCAATATGGCGGTAAACACACACCTGCCCACACACGCTCTCTAGGCTGCAAAGTTCTGGCACAGAGCTCTCCTTCTCACCACCACCACCACCACCACCACCATCAGTTCGCGCCTGGCGCCTGGTCGATGCATGGCTGGTGGTATCCGGCATAGCAGGCTGGTACATCAAGTAGCGCATGGCACATAGATGATGACACAGCAGCGACATAGCTCGATTGCGACGTACGTTTCGTCCCCGTTGGACTCATCAGGCAATCTTCTTCTTGGATGTCTTCATACGGAGCTTGACTCGGGAGAATGTAGTTGAAGACACCACTGCAGCTGTACTTATGGTTGATAAATATGGTGGTAAAGACACACCTGGCAATATGGCGGTAAACACACACCTGCCCACACACGCTCTCTAGGCTGCAAAGTTCTGGCACAGAGCTCTCCTTCTCACCACCACCACCACCACCACCACCATCAGTTCGCGCCTGGCGCCTGGTCGATGCATGGCTGGTGGTATCCGGCATAGCAGGCTGATACATCAAGTAGCGCATGGCACATAGATGATGACACAGCAGCGACATAGCTCGATTGCGACGTACGTTTCGTCCCCGTTGGACTCATCAGGCAATCTTCTTCTTGGATGTCTTCATACGGAGCTTGACTCGGGAGAATGTAGTTGAAGACACCACTGCAGCTGTACTTATGGTTGATAAATATGGTGGTAAAGACACACCTGGCAATATGGCGGTAAACACACACCTGCCCACACACGCTCTCTAGGCTGCAAAGTTCTGGCACAGAGCTCTCCTTCTCACCACCACCACCACCACCACCACCACCATCAGTTCGCGCCTGGCGCCTGGTCGATGCATGGCTGGTGGTATCCGGCATAGCAGGCTGATACATCAAGTAGCGCATGGCACATAGATGATGACACAGCAGCGACATAGCTCGATTGCGACGTACGTTTCGTCCCCGTTGGACTCATCAGGCAATCTTCTTCTTGGATGTCTTCATACGGAGCTTGACTCGGGAGAATGTAGTTGAAGACACCACTGCAGCTGTACTTATGGTTGATAAATATGGTGGTAAAGACACACCTGGCAATATGGCGGTAAACACACACCTGCCCACACACGCTCTCTAGGCTGCAAAGTTCTGGCACAGAGCTCTCCTTCTCACCACCACCACCACCACCACCACCATCAGTTCGCGCCTGGCGCCTGGTCGATGCATGGCTGGTGGTATCCGGCATAGCAGGCTGATACATCAAGTAGCGCATGGCACATAGATGATGACACAGCAGCGACATAGCTCGATTGCGACGTACGTTTCGTCCCCGTTGGACTCATCAGGCAATCTTCTTCTTGGATGTCTTCATACGGAGCTTGACTCGGGAGAATGTAGTTGAAGACACCACTGCAGCTGTACTTATGGTTGACAAATATCATGCGCTACTTGATGTACCAGCCTGCTATGCCGGATACCACCAGCCATGCATCGACCAGGCGCCAGGCGCGAACTGATGGTGGTGGTGGTGGTGAGAAGGAGAGCTCTGTGCCAGAACTTTGCAGCCTAGAGAGCGTGTGTGGGCAGGTGTGTGTTTACCGCCATATTGCCAGGTGTGTCTTTACCACCATATTTATCATTACGAGTCACAAATTTAACGATTGTCCAAAATTCGTAGGTTAACGAGAAGATATGTTAACGATCTTGCAGTATTCCGGCATATCCACACACAACATTATTATGAAGCAGTACGGCCTCAACGGATCTTATTACAACGAAAAAATGTCATCCGTTAAAACGTTAGATTTGCTTCCTCGTTATATATACATGTCTTACAGTAGTATGTAATAAATTGTTGTTGGTTGACACTAGCGGCATGTAACAAGGTGGAGGACACCGTGTTCGGAAACATTGACCTTTCCGTGACCTTTCTACAACCATCATGATCAACGACAACTCCCCTGGAATAGAGAGGGTCAGAACCGGGTCTAACACCCATAGGTCTACGGTTCAGATGGTCGCAACCGACCGCGGGGCTCTACCAACCGTGGATGGTTGTAGAAAGGTCACTGATTTCGAACACGGTGTCCTCCACCTTGTTACATGCTGTCAACTAACAACATGTTTGAACAAACAAAGGTTTTAAAATAATTATCATGTACAATGTACTGTGTCTTTGAGCGATGTACATTAGGTTCGCTGCAGAGATACATGTATATGCCGTACACAAGATATGCCGTATGGGTTTCCACAGGGGCACTTCGCCGTCTTCGGCTTCACTTTCGATGCCAAGACGAAGCTCGAAGGTAGGTGACAGTGAGAGAGAAGACCCCTCGAACAAGAACAACGAGTCTCCAGTCCAGAAGCGATCGAGTCGAGCGGGAAGACGGCTTTTGCCGAGCGCGTGAGCCCTGATGATGTAAATGTACATGTACATGTAACGAGGGATTTCTCGGTTTCTTGCAAGTGGAATGCACCAGCCCACATACATGACTTGTCTTGTTGTCGGTTGACAGCATGTAACAAGGTGGAGGACACCGTGTTCGGAAACAGTGACCTTTCTACAACCATCCACGGTTGGTAGAGCCCCGGTCCGTTGAGACCATCTGAACCGTATGGGTCTTAGACCCATGGCATGGGCAGAAGTTGGAAGAAAAAAAGAGTTCAGAAAAACAATCCAGGTTAAAATAGCTACTACACTGTATTTGTTATGACTATCAATTAGACATCCAGGAGCGATCACAGAATACACGACTGATGTTAGGAGAAGTCTCTAATATTAAACAACTCCCCTCGAATAAAGAGCGTCAGAACCGGGTCTACAATCTTTTTATAAGTCTATTAAGGCCCATACGGTTCAGATGGTCTAAACAGACCGGGCTCTACCAACCGTGGATGGTTGTAGAAAGGTTACTGTTTCCGAACACGGTGTCCTCCACCTTGTTACATGCTGTCAACCAACAACATGTCTGAACAAAAACAAGGTTTATCTTAGGGCTGAAACGATCATTCAATAACTCTTAACGATCAACCAATATCATTAACGATCGATATATTGGTATTTATATCGATTCTTGTCGGCTCTACCCGTGTACCTCGAACACCAGTTTATGAAGAAATTCCACGATACCTAATAGTAATACCATGACTTGTACATGTACTTCAAGAGTACATTTCGCCTACTTTTTGGAGAATTTTCAATCGGAGAGGAGGTTGTTTGGTATGTTATCCCAACGTCGTGAGCGATCCCGTCTTCCGGGTACCCTTCTAGTTACCCTGAGGCCAGTGAGGGTTCTCCTGAGGAGAATTTATCTCCAGCAAAGCGTTGTTGATCCGCTAAATTCGTCTCGAGACGTACATAATTGTATGCACCAAGGAGTCGTATAAACCCGGGTTTATGACTCCCTGGTATGCACCTGGTACCCAGTGGCAGTGCTAATAGTCATATGTACGACCCACAGTAGAGTACGCTATCCCTGCCTGGTGCTTCAGACGTACCGCTGGCCAGCTAGAATTGCTTGACATTTTACAAGCAAAGATCTGCAGATGTCTGCTGCGGTCTGCGACTGAGATTGATTTTGATCGCTATGAATCGAAGAATAATTTGAATAGGCTGTGTAATTTGGAATCCCTTCACTTTCGACGCACTTATATCAAATTCCATCATTGTTTTGTTCAAGTATATCCATTGGCACTATCATTATCACTCAGGCTGCAATATTCATAATAATTATAGACATATTCATAAATGACATATCTTCAATACCAATGAGCTACATTGTATATGTATAGGATATTGACCAAGACGAGGTCTATATGGGAAATATAGGCCGAGTCAGTAAAAGACCGAGGTCCGCCGAGGTCTTTTATGAGGCCTATATTTCCCATATAGACCAAAGTCGAGGTCAATATCCTATTTATCACGAGTCTTTTGCCATAACCCCAAAATTTGAACCTTTAGGAGCTATTTTAACCTTTTTAGTATAGCATTTGTACTATAGTGTACATAGGATGTTGCCTATTTTGGGTACAAGACTGTAAGAACAACAGGGCTCAGCATCTGCGGCACAGTGGCTGGGTGGTATAAGGGGTTGCCTGAGATTCATACTGTTGTGGGTTCGAATCCTGCTTGTTTTCTTCCTTTGTCTTCTTTCTTTCAAACTTTCTTTTTTGAAGTGGAGAGAAAAATTCTAAGTCCCTCCAAAGTCGAAAGATTACAATGCCTAAGTGGTCGATACAAGCGGTCGATATTACGGCGATATGGGTAATCAAGAGTACATAACCCTGTATTCTCGCACAGCGATAAGCCACACTCGCTACACACCAAACAACAGCACATTTGTATTGCGGTTAGGAGGGCCAGAAGTGTGACACCACGTTCTTTTACATGGAAGGATGCGGAATTGTAGAATAGCGGAAGAAGGGACAGAGCACATGGATATTCTGTGAAAGCAACGCAATGGCAGCAACTGAGAGAGCAATGACCGAAAACCAGAAGCACCACTTGGGACCGTCAGATTAATTCGTCTGGGCCGAGC